TGCGTGACAGGACAAAGCGCCCCAGCATGCTCTGCACGACATTTGTGCGGTCGAGACAATCCATGCAATTCGTGCGCACGACAGCCGTCTGGTGGCGGCGGACCTCGACGCCCGACCCATCGCCCGGCATGTCGACGCCGCAAAAGTATCCGTGGCGCAGAATGTGCGGTTCGAGCTGGTTGAGCAGGAGCTTAGCGCGGTCCCAGCGGAGACCCTTTGTTTCGTTGTGGAAGTCAAAGTAGATGTAATGTAATCGATCGTAGACGGTTTGCGCTTTCGCCGGATCGATAATGTGGAACTTTTCCGACGTGATGCGGTCGCCTTGGACGTTTTCCGAAGGCGACGTGTGCAGCAGGTTGACCATTTGCTCGTAGGCTTCTTTGACGCGCTGCTCGCGGCCCTTTTGGTTGACGAGGTTGACCATCCAGTTGTCGCCGTAGAGGCGGATTTGCTCGGCAAAGTGCTTCTTTGCGGCGGGGAGGGCGTTGTCGATGCCGCGGATTTGCAGCTTGGGCGTGTACTTGAGCGTGTTTACTTCGGCCCAGTAGACGGGTACGCTGCCTCTGGTCTGGACGTAGGCGAGGACCTGGGTCTCCTTGCCCGCCGTGCTGGACGGGTTCTGGTTGGAGCCGAAGCCGCCGGGGCCGCCTGATGCGTTGTCGTTGAGGATGATGGTCTGTTCTGTTTCGTTGAAGTTGGACACGTTGCCGTTCTCGTCGATGCCGCGGGAGAAGTAGCGGGTGCCTGCCTTGAGGCGCGAGCGGCGCGTGATGAGGATAAAGGTGAGCGGCGTGCCCTTGATGGACGTGTTTTTAATCTCCAACATGCCGTACATGACGGGCAGGATGTAGGGGTCTGCGCCCGGCTGGTGGCCACTCGAGTGCCTGCCATATCCGCCGCTGAGACCACCGCGGAAGTCGATGAGGTCGCTCGACACGAAGCGATTCCAGTAGAAGCGGTCGTCGGCACGCTTCCACAGGGGCGTCGAGGGGTCGAGGTGGGCCTGGCGCTGGAACGTGTTGGTAATGTCGAACGAGTAGGAGAAGAAGAGCGGGCTGGTCTTGATGAGCGTCTTGAGGAGACTGAGGTAGTTGTCTTCGTCGGCGTCGTGCAGCGGCTTTTCGCGCAGGGAGAGGAACTCGGTAGCGACGACTCTGTAGATCATGTGGCCTTTGATCCTGCCCATGGGCTGGGCCTTTGTGATGACAATGATGTACTTGTCTTCACATGTCAGCATTCGCTTTGGTGTCGCCAGGGGTGCAGCGCATACCCAGTCGCAGCTTGATCATGCCGAGGATGCCAGCAATGCTCGACACTCTCTTGGAGCCCAGCAGCTTGCCATCGTGAAGGCGGATGTCACCTGACGGGCGGTCGACAACGAGGGTAGGGGCTGAGGGCGACGATGGCGAGGAGAAGGCGTAGTGCGAGGGCGACGAGTGGACGTTGATGTCGCGGTAAGGGAGGGCGACGCTCATGGCGGCGGGTGACTGTAGGCTGAAGAGCGTGGAGCTCTGTCCTGGAGTCGTGTGGAGTAGTTGTTTGATACGTCGTGTTTTCGACGACGGACTGTTCCAGGGTTTCGTCATGGCGGCCATTGCGGCCAAGGGTCCCCGACTCGTGCGCTAGGGCCAAGCACCGGGACGCAGCACCTCGTCACAGCAGCCACCAGCTCTTTCACCCTCACCTCAACACCACGCCTCTTACATATCCCCTCCCACAGCCCGATATACCGACTGCTCTCGACAGTTTGTCCCCCGCTTCCACCGCTTCCACCCTTCCACCGCCCAACCTCGAATACCCTACACCCGATAGCGCCGCGTCACCCCCGTCATGTCGGCCAGGATGCAGCAAGGTCAACGGCCTGGAGGCTCTCGATTTGCACAGTTCAAGCTGGTGTTGCTGGGTACGGTCTATCCTTGACAATACTGTTGGCGCAACTAGATAGACTAACAAGCACCAGGAGAATCCGCCGTCGGAAAGGTGCGCGAGCCTATCAAGGCAGCCATGACATAAGCTAACACCTCGCAGTCGTCTCTCGTGTTGCGCTTCGTCAAGGTACGCTATCTCTACTGCCACTACGAGAGCTCAACCGCTAACTCGACCAGGACCAATTCGACGACTACCGGGAATCCACCATCGGCGCCGCCTTCCTCACCCAGACCATCGCCCTCGATGAAAACACAACCGTCAAGTTTGAAATCTGGGATACCGCCGGTCAAGAACGCTACAAGTCGCTCGCGCCCATGTACTACAGAAACGCAAACTGCGCCGTAGTCGTCTATGACATCACACAGGCTGTACGTCCTTGATAATGCGACGGAATGAAAAAAAAAACTGACGTAGCTCGTGAACCCTCCAGGCCTCCCTAGACAAAGCAAAAGCCTGGGTAAAAGAACTCCAACGCCAAGCCAACGAAAACATCATCATCGCCCTCGCGGGCAACAAACTTGATCTCGTCACCGAATCCCCCGATAAGCGCGCCATTTCCACGGCCGACGCCGAGCAGTACGCCAAAGAAGCCGGGCTGCTCTTCTTTGAAACGTCGGCCAAGACGGCGGAGAATGTCAAAGAGCTGTTCACGGCGATTGCGAAGAAGTTGCCGATTGATCAGGCGACGGGGCCGAGGAACTTGAGGCCGGGACAGCAGCGCCAAGGGGTTAATCTGAGGCCCGAGGCTAATCAGACGCAGGGGCCTGGTGGGTGCAACTGCTAGAATCTTGAACATGAGGTTGATATCAACCGAATGTGGGTTCGGCTTATCGCATGCGCCAACGGGAATGCTGTAGATTGTGTAACTCGGGATGGGGGAATCTAGATACGCCCATCGCCCGGATAGTGTGTGTGTGTCTGTGTTCCTTGTGTCTTCCACTATGTTCATTCTGGAACATAATTGGGCCTTTGGTGGGGATACGGAGTCAGGATTTGTTTCTTTGGTCGTTATCAGTTTCCTTGTATTCCAAGAAGAGAGAAGGAGAGACAGAGAAGATATTGGGGCCACCTGAGCTTTTTTTAATTAATGATTTCGACATTTTGCTCTCCTGGTTCCGTTTCTTTTCCTTGTCCGTGGTCTTTTTCTGTCCAATGGGCGGAAACGTTTTGCAACCCGATGGTAAAAGAGAAGTTCAACGGAAGATTGTGTGGGCTAAGGAAGAGAGGAGGAAATCGATTCACTGGAGTCCAAATTGTAAGTTCTGCGCAAGGTTTGTGTTGATTGGAGAGACTGCGCTTCAAGATTGGCAAGGTCTGCTTATTGTGTATTCGCGTACAACGACTGTGTTCTGCCTCTAGGTGGTCTCCATGCACCTGGCAGTGTCTGACGACGTCATCGTGATTTCGCCTACATCAATTCGCTCTGGACTATTTCCTCTCTATACTTCTTCTCGCAACACTTGCCCAGCATGCAACATTGTTGAAGCAGGTAGCTTTCAGCACGAGACGTTACACATAAGACAGAGGCACTGACAATACTTGGGTGTCTCTAGTCCTCGTCATTAGCCTCGTCCTCGATTCCGTCACCCCCCCATATTCCCGATCCTAGTCAACTAGACTCGCACCAATAATTTCTGAAGAGTTATACACCAGACTTAAGGCGCTGACAAAACTTCAGAAAGAGCTAGAGGCTGAGCTGCAATATCCCAAAGCGATACCGTGGTATGCATAAATTCTACCTAAAGCCTGATAACCCCGTGCTGTATACTGGACTACGACTTCCAAACCTTCACTCTCAAGAATGATACGGGCCAATGAGAAGATCTTCTACGTACCTCGTAGGAACGTCGTAGTACCCTATCGTACCTGTCCGTACTATCCTACGTTGGACGCGCTGCACGCTCCTCAACTCGCCCAGTGAATATCACAGGCGTATGCAAGAAATTCGTTATTAGGAACTGATATCTCAATTGGCTCGATTTGAGCTATGTCTTGCCTGGGAGCGTGACTAAGTTTTGCGCTCGTCGTAGATAACGATCACCGATACTATCGCGCACCTCCCGACGTCAAACCAGCAGCCTTGAATGGCGCACGCGCGCTACGCTGAAAGAGCCAACGGTTTTTCCTCCTCGTTCGAAAGCATTTCTGATTGTCGCCGAAGATGTGGTGGTAGCCTGTTTGCTGTCCGGAAGTAGTGGTGGTTAGCATTATGCGTGGCTGGTATCTGTAAGGAATAACAAATGCAGAAAGAAGTGCGCCGAGCTCGATATCGCGCAGTCGCGCTGCACTGACGCTGAAGGGGCTGCAGGGAAAGTGTCCTGCTACACGAAAGCGGACGTTGTTTGGTTCGCTAACCGCCTGCGGAATAACTTTGCCTTACATGAAACAGGGTGTGTAGGACATGGCTTACTCTGATGGCTGTTCTCCATGCGTCATAACCTTGTGCGGCCCCTAGACTCACGCGCAGCACTCGTCTACCTGCCGCTGCAATTGGTCAGCCTGCCGCCTCCCATAATTTCTGCATCGCATCAAGTAGGCTGTGCATGACATGACATGCTCCGATGTCCATTCTTAAAGCGCTGTAGCCTCGATCTATCATAAGGCTCGTTGGAAGTGATTGCGAATGTGATGATGTTACATTACTGAGTTCGTACTGAGATGTTTGGTCTTCCACTTTGTCTTTACATCTCTGCATTAAGAAATACCACTCTCGAAAGGCCTCTTTTTGTATGTGCATCTGCGCTTGGATTTCCTTGTTCAGATATCTTCCATCAGCGCGTGGATCATACACATTAGTTATCCAGGATGCGTGTCAGGAATTATGGAATTTCCGGAAGGCAACAGATATTCAGGATCTGTGTCGTTGTTGTATGGGTGCTCTTATTCCTCATTACTGTCCTTATCCAGGGCACTCGGGGGTATAGCAACAAGACTAGGAAAATCATTGCCATAGCGTTCGTCGCCGCGAACATCGTTTGGATTATCGGATTGGAAATAGGCGTACAGTCCGAACGGTCAGGCAAGTCTCTATTTAAGACTTACGTGTAAGTTCTTGTATATCCATTATACCTATGATTGGACGTTACGTTCAACTGATCACTCTAGGAGTCAGGAAGCAATCCAAGAACAAGAATTTTGAATCTAGACCTCTGATGGCCTTGTCACGCCATGGGATCAACCGGCAGACCGCGAACAGAATTGTGGATGTGCAGCAGTCCCCGTCGGCTACTAGGAATCCAGTGATTGCAGACGGCCCACCACATCTAAGCTGCCCTACCTTCCATTCAACGCCCTTCAATCTCGAAGAGACTAGTAAAGTTTACTCTCCATTGATAGGTGACAGAATCCGTTTACTTCGTATACATCCCTCCGCAAACGAAACATCGGGCTTGGAAGCCGACTTATTACATTTCCCACTACTGTCTGCTCAGTTGAAGAACTACAAAGCCTTATCTTACACATGGGGGTTAGAGAAAGCTTCGGTATCTATTGCCATAAATGGTGTGTCCATATTGATCAGACCAAACCTTGACAAGATACTGCGAAAACTAAGGGCTCTTGGATATGAGTATATATGGGTAAGCCCAGGAAACTCTAAGATGTTCAGCAGGTCGAGAGTTGACCGCAAATTTAGGTTGATGCTATTTGCACAAATCAGGAAGACGGCACAGAACGTAGTGCCCAGGTAGTTCGCATGCGAGCCATTTACTCTGGAGCACAATCAATAATCGTCGCCACTGAAACTGGAGCTTCTACCGCTGCAGACCGGCTCATTCAAATACTTGGTTCCGTTGGAAAAATATCACATCCGATCAGCGACGCTACCATTGCCGCCGATACCAGTTTTGCCGCCGATACACTCAACGACGAACTGACTTTCTCGGCGCTTGAAGCATTCTTCGGAGACCCTTACTGGAAAAGGATATGGATCTTACAAGAGTTTGCGATTGGATACAACACAGAATTTCTTATCGGGAACCGTACGATTGCGGCCACCAAGTTGCGGGCATTACTCGAGAAGCTGAACGCGCAAAGTTCAGTTAAGGATTGGTGGATCGAAAAGATGCAGAACACGCAAAGTTCAGTTAAGAATCGGTGGGATCAAGTGAACACTGTTTTCAAGATCCGAATGGATTGGCAGCGAGAAGTTTCACTGAAACTTCTACTACTTCTTGAGATCACCCAGGGGTCATTGTGTAGTGTCAGACATGATCGTATCTTTGGCCTACTTGGACTTTCGGTCGATGCGCTGAAGTACCTGCCCGAACCAAATTATAACATCGACCTGACCACGATGACAGTGGCGATCACACGTGCCTACATTCAGAGAAACACGTTAGAGATCATCTTCTTAGCCCCGCATTGCCCTCACACTGATCTACCGACCTGGTCTCCAAATTTTTTCCATTTTGATTCCTTCCCTCCTGAAAGCCGAATAATCCGCATGATATCAAACAGCGATTCCAAATCCCGCTGGCGAGCGACAAGTGAAGAGGAATCAAGCATAACCTTCCAAGACCAGAGTCTGCTGACGCCTGCTGCTCGTATTGGATCCATTCGCAGTGTTGGAACTACATTTTCCGACCCTACGGAAACAGGATTTCCAGTTCACGACACTAACTGGGCCAGAAAAGTAGGTTCTTCTCACCTCTGTAGAGAATTCTACGAAGCAATGCTTGAAATACTTTACACGCCAAACGCCAAACCTTCTTCTCTCAGAACGGCCCACAAACGCATGTGCGCTGTACATGGGCATAGTTTTGTTAAAAGCTTCCTCCCGAGTTATGGGTCACCAGACCCAGAGATGCAACACAGCGAGTTGGTGACATGGATTTGTGCGAACAGAGCCTTTTTCACTGGCGCAAGCACACTGGCGGAGAGTGCGACGCAGCTTAGACATCCCTTGTTGATGTATGGCTGGAATGCTTGGAGTTGGACTTACTGGGATAACAGATTTTGGGGAAATGAAGCGATTTTGGTATGGAGGAAAATGAGCATGATGGCAAAACTTGACATGCGCTTGATGTGCTTGGATGGCGGTCCAGAGTACCAGATCGGCTGGGCGGCGAAAGGAGCGCGACTACACGATGAGGTCTTCCTCATCCCTGGTTGTAGTAGTCCTGCTATTCTACGCAAGCGGCCTGATGCAAAGTACGAGGTTGTAGGTGACGCGATCGTTACAGGAGCTATGCAAGGAGAGCTTTGGGAGAAGTTGCGTTCAGAACACGTCCAGAACATCGAGATTGTGTAGAAGTATATGAAGAAGAAACAAGGTCAACATTGCTTGCGAGTGTACCGAACTTTCCACTCATCAACACCATCGCGCACTGAGTCACGTCACGGGATTCCGTAAAGGTCATTCTACCTTCTTGCATTGGGGGGGTTACAAGAATGGCCAGGGCCAACGGAAGCCGCTGTGAGAAGGTGCCATCTCATTTGTTATTCCTGGTGCCCGCCGCACCCACTAGCGTATCGCCTATGTAGGAAAATTCTCCAAAGGTTCAGTCCATCACACTTTTACGACGACCTGCTCTTATCCGTGGACGGCAACGGCGCTGCTTAATCGTGTTCGTTGAACCGTTTCATCACACTTTCACTCCATCAGCCGCGGTACTCATGAGCGAGAAAACCTACTCGTTGTCCTTTTCCGTCTTGTGGCTATGTCTTTTCCAACAAGTTCAGAGTGTACAATTATTGTCATTGCTCTGCGTAGCGCTCATTGGCTGACATGGACTGTGGGCCTCCTTCCAACCTTGGAAGTTGGGCTTAGCCGAATACCAAACTACCGTTCATCCATTGCGACCAATACCATGCCAGATGTTCGAAGACCCATCACACGAGAACTATGGGAGAGAAGCACTGCCTCCCGCAAAGCATAGTTGCTCTAAAGCATAAAAGCCTTCCTCCCTTTGAGGGTAAATTTTATCCTACTCATTCCACTAACCTTCCAGAACAGTCAGATTCTCACGAGATACCGCATCAAGGTTACAACTAACACCAGCAACTACAACCTTACTAGCATCATGGAGGTCTTCAAGTTGCTGTTCTACATATGGCTGCTTTTGGCAGACATCGCTATGGCTATCGCCATCACCAACGTCACGGTTGATCCTCACCTATACCAAAGGCAATCTCCCGCAGGCGCAATCTCCAGCAACTCACTTGCTTCCTCCGGTACATACCCAAGCTGCAATCTCCAGGTTCCCAGTCAGATATCTTGGCCATACTTTCGGGGCCTGGTGGCCAACTTTACCCGGGTTCATGTAGATCTATTCCGTCGTGACTACCGGTACACGACGTTCCCGCTCTACCTTCGCGCTAACTTCGCCTCTGATCTCCCCCCAAGTTCTATGACCTGCGACAGTGTCGGAGAGTGTTCGTTGACGTCTTGTCAATTGTTGAACCCGGAATTGTCGTCATATGACAGACAAATGGCATACTTTGTGTTCGAACAAATCTCTGGTATCGATCATCTCTTTAGGAGCCAGCGCGAGGCTATGCGCGAAGGCGCGATGTACATTGACGGCCAGATCCCTGATCTTATCAGGACATATAGCGCTTCGCCACGCATAGAGAGGCAGCTCCAGGAGAAACTGATGGATCGGAGAAGGTATGAGAAACTAGCAATGGCTATTGTTAGCGGAGCAGGATTAATGGCTGGCGGAGTGATGGCGCTTCCCGTGTTCGGTATCGCGGCGACGACCGGAGTTGCGATGACAAACCTATTGACAGCTTCCTACGTCTCGGTTATTGGTTCGTTCAATGCCGTTCGTCCTGATCCCAGACAAATCAGTTCCAATCTGCAAGAGAACTTACACTCGTCGCTCAACGAGTTCCGCCATGCTATGATCAGCAATGAAACGTATGGCATGCAGTCTATCATGGGCCATCGACCTAACACACCTGGTCAAGATCTGGTAGATGTCTTGGCAGGTGAATACTTCTTCAGGAGAGACGAGAATATCCAACAACCTCTCCAGGAGTCATTCCTGAGCACAATCTTTTCCACCACTCTCAATGGAATCTGGGCACAGGAGAGATCATACATTGTTCAGGCAAATGTACAGACTGGATACTGTGAGTGGGATTGGCGTGGACCTCAAGAGAACAGGGTTTGCTTGCCAGAGCATCCAAACTCTATATACTACATGTATGCCCTTGACGTCTCTAGGGAGTACGATCATCGGCAAAATGACATGGCCCTCATCCACGGCCCTACTGGCTATCGAAACTTCGACTCGACTTCAGGGCGGCCTACCCCACACGGCATCACCAAGGAGGATATCGTTCGTTCCGCAATATTTGTTCATGAGAACAAACTGCAAGACGCCATACGCAACCGGGACTACCACACGATAGCCGAGGCTGCGAAGCGTGATCTAGCGATGGGCAAGAATCTTGGAAAAGTTCCAGGTGGTTTTAGCTTACCAATCTGTCTAAACCCAGGCGGCGAAGCCATCTCGAGCGTTTGGGACAAGAAAGCTCGCAACTTCCCATGCATGTGCGGCCCCTTTGGTTGGAACGACGGTACATGGAACTACCAGGCGGACGAGACCACTGAATTCCTCGTCCACACTGGTCTCATGTTTTCCGAAGACTGGGAACGCTTTTGCCATCGCAACGGGGAATGCAAAGGAGTCGAATGGACCGATCTACACTCGCAATTGGACCAGAAGCGTGAACCGGATGATCCACCGATTCCAAAATATACAAAGTATCTTTTCGGTCGATGTAAGCAGGACACCGAACACGGAGCAGGGAAGCCTTGGTACGACTTTTCCAGGAATCCTCCTTTGGGACGATCGGTGCGCGACACCTTTATGGCTTTGACGAAGAAGATATTCAGGCGGCATGAATGAATTGATTTGCAACGTTTCGTGGAGGGGTGGGCGAGTGGAAGATGCTGAGGAAGTGGACCCTTTGTATGATCCTGAACAATTGTTCATGGTTTTATGTATGCGACATGGTCACTTGCGCAAGAGCCGTGTTCTAGCACCGGTGTCGCGAGAAGGTGGACTCATCGGGAGATCAGCACGGGTACTACCAGGTGGAGACATGAGACTTGCACGCAGTGGCTGCCGAATGGAGTAGTTCTATGAACATCTTGCGCTTAACATTAGCATGAGACGCCATTCAGCCATGTGGTGACTGTCCTTGGTAGGAGCACACGTATGACTTGTAAGACTCAGCGCCTACTACCTGAACAACATCAGGTCTGAAGATGTAAGGATGTAGTAATCCATTGGCGTTTTGCTACAATTACCTACGTGACTACACCTCGTTGTGCAAACACCTTTAGCCACTTTGCGCATCCAACATGCGTTGCCACCAACAATCCCTGACATGTATCACGACAAAGATGCTACTAGTAGTTGTCAAAACCTCTGTTTCGTCCACTAGTGCTGAACTCATTGGAAATATGAAAAAAGGCATGCTGGCTGCATATGTTACCCACCATAGCGGATCGCATGCAAGCACCCGTAGTTTAGGACCGGCAATGGGAGCGGCAAAATACATGGGCGAGTGTTGTGCCTGACTCTCAGTCTCTTTAGTTCATCTGAGCACAAGGAGTAGCCTGGCAAAAAGTGTGTATTAAAAGGGCCGATGCAGCGCGTCAGATAGAATGGCTTGCGCCATGGCGTAAAACCCACACGTGGCCGGAGATGCGGATTGAGAATGGGCTGATCCGAATGAGGATGATAGCATGATTCCTTTTGCTCAACGTAGAAGGCTGACGGTCGGTGATTCTTGGTTTCCAGCACATTGGACGCCTTATTTTACTTTTATTCGCGGTGCATTGCATGTCTACCAAGAATTGAGGGGGCCGGGGCCGAATCATGTTCCTGGCTTGGATCCTTCGCCACAGATGAGATAAACGAGAGAACCCCAATTAACGCGGGTGCATTGCGTACTCTTGCTGCAACCAACCCCATGAATTGATCGCGCGCACCTGCTATGATGTCGCATTGGGCCTAAGGGAGTTGCTGAGCCGGCATTGCAACGGGCATAATTGGGTGAGAATTGACGACCGTGCCATGCCGTGCCCCGTCTCGAGAGCACGCCGCACTGCTCAAGCCTCGCGATCAGCTGGCAGCCTCGCGGACCCACCCTTGTCTCGGGAGCCTCATGTCGAGTCAGGGGCCTGATCGTGAATGCCTCACCGATGCGGAGGATTCTGCATATGGATCCAGCGGCACGGCTTTCGGAACCGAGATAAAAGTAAAGGATTCTTTACACTTACATGTAGGCGTCATAGGTGGCAGATTCAGTCAAGACTCTGGTCGCACACCGCACCTCAGTCAACAAAAGGTGAGTGCTGTGAGATGCGACGGCACGCGTAAGCTGCAGTACCTTGGTGTCGGCGTATTACGCACTGCACCTAGTAACACCAAAACTGCATGTTCAATCGATATTGTTGGATAATGGCAAAACTCAATGCCATAGTCATTCCGCTGTCAGCCAGTCCCTGGTTCCCGTTATGGCGGTGCCTCCGAAGATAGTTGCACCAGGAGGTGCTGGAAGAGCAAAGTGCAGGTGGCAAAGTCGTCGGGAACTCAGCGGATCGCAATTAGATCGAGGTGGCTCCGCAACTTTAGGTTTGACGATGGGGATTTACTGTGGGCGGGCATCAATGGATCGCTGCAGGGTGACAAAGATCCGGGTCTAAGCCTGATACAGGCCCCGCTAGTGCTGGGCGCCTGATCGGAGCTGCGCGGAGTCTCTGGCTTACCTTCCCTCCAGAACCACTGACCCTTTGAACAACATCATGTTTCGCGCCGACTGCTACTTTCAACACATGGTTTCAGGGTCCGGAAACTCTCGATGACACACCTAAACCCTGTTATTACCGGACTGGCTCAGATGGTGCCTGCCAAATGCTTCCAACGTGGCCAAGACCTAGTTCCCGTAGCTACAGGTTGCACGACTCGAACGAAAACCCTGAGACATGACTGCGTCCTCAGGCAAGGAAAGTCCATTTTCGCTGCTGTGGCGGCATTTCTCGTAGTGCGGCGAGGCGGAAATTGGGTTCCGGTTCTCTAGCGACGGCCATGGAGTCCCCCCTTTGCTCAGGAATCACAAGACACTACTCCACGGGGCTATGAAGATGCAATCTGAATACCTGGGCAGATCTTGATAGTAAGAACGCGTCTATGTGTTGGCTATGATGCTTGAATGGTGCGGTCACGCAGAACCATTCGTTGTGATTCTCGGTTCCACACTTCGCGGAGAGTTTGTGCGCCACCCCGCTGATACGCCAGATCATTGTGCCTAACGTACGGTCCGTGTACCAGCCAAGCTTCAAAGCCAGTGCGACACCAGCGTCGTAACGGAAGCCAAAGCTCCAATGTGCGCTTCACGACATGGATGGAGCTAACGGCCATGTGCTGCAAAGCCCCACTCTCCACTGAACATAACATCGAGGCCCTGTGCTAGTTCCGACCCGCGTCCTCGATCTTGTCTCTTTGATCTTGCCCGCCTACCTGCAGCTCGTCAATCGTCTACGCCCGCATGTCTCGCATACTCCCCCGGGCAGGCCCAAGATAATCCAGTATGCAGCTGCCACCAACGGATGTCCTCTTGTCCTGGCCTACTCCAAATTACGACAACCCAGTCACGCGTGGCCCTGCCCTTGTCATTGTCAACTCCATCTTCATATCGCTGGCAATAATCACTGTGGCTGCTCGTATATATACGCGTATAGTAATAAAGAGATGGTTCGGTATTGATGATGTGTTCATCCTGCTTGCGCTGCTCTTCACGCTCGGTCTCACTGCTGTTGTCATCCTAGCGAATCAAAGATTCGGGTGGAACAGGTAGGCATCGCGCATCGCGTCTGCCCAAGACATTGCTGACTTATCGCAATAGACATGTATGGGATATACCCTTTCCCATGTTCGTGCCAACCTCAAAGATCGCCATGACGGCCAAGGTCGTTTTCGTAGCGGCAGCGACATTCACGAGACTTTCTCTACATTGCTTCTATTACCGACTGGTTACAGACACTGGAAAGTCGTAAGTCGCCATTGACATGACTCACAAACTCGACGTACTGACGACTGTGCGATAGCTGGTTTAAATGGGCGATCCACGCCAACGTCGCCTATACGGTTGGCCTCTTCATATCATGGACGTTCATCGGCATCTTCTTCTGCACTCCCGTAAAGAATTACTGGACCATCGGTGCTCCCGCAGACACCTGCATGGACGAAGCGGTCATGACCCTGATCTGCGGCATCATGAGCTGTGTCGCAGATCTTCTTACCACGATAACGCCGATACCCTTGGTTCTTGGTGTAAGTTGATTTGAACGTTCCAAACACGAGACTGTGGTTAACAGTGTTCAGCTTCATATGCGGCTCCGTGAGCGCATGGCTGTAGCATCGCTATTCGGCATGGGATTGATCGTTACAGGTGCCGGCATCGTCCGTACATGGTATATCTACCGAAGTCTCTTCAATGAGTACGACCAGACCTGGTACGCATATCCACTTTGGATTGCAGCTGCAGTGGAGATCGATCTGGGAGTGGTAAGTTTCGCATGTCCGAACTTTGCAACGATTCTCACCAAGAACAGATATGCGCCTCGGCCCCCGTACTCAAACCACTCTTCGCGAAGATACCCTTCAGTCTTTCAAAATCACTCTCAGGTGGCATATCCTTCAAGAAATCGGCCGGTGACTCATCGAAGACGCTAACCGCCAATCCATCAGCGTCAAATGGCTCGAGACGACGATCCGCAGCACCCCGCAGCGTACCGGAACTGGCAAACGACAAAGGACAGAGCTATGAGATGAAGCATTGGGCTGATACGGAAGGCGATCTGGAGCGAGGCAGTAGTCAAGAAGCGATCTTGGAAGAGGAGGAATCGCCAAAGAAGGGCATGTCGCGTCTTTGGGGCAAGATCAAAAGAAGTTCGGCAGAAGAGCTGGATTCAGATATGACAATTACAGTGGAACGCGAGGTGGAACTACAAGTCGAGTCGGGACAAAAACGTCCTTCACGATACGCGACCCATGGAGACCTCCACGAGAACCACATGCCGTTACCACCATTAGCGCCAAGATCTCGCGGACACGATCGGTGACGCACGACAAACCCATGATCGTGATGGGCGCGTCGGATCGGAATCGAACACGATGCGCATGAAGAGCATGTATGTCTTGCTCCTATGCGGAATCACCAGCGGAATTCCTGCGGCGCTATATCTTTGGTGGCTTCTTTTTGCATCGCTTTAGCATATGATACCATGTTCAACTACCATATAAGGAGTTCGTCGTTAGACTTTGGAGTAATTCAATGGGGCCTGGTCGTCCTTGTATTGACGATAAGCTGACAACACATGATTCAATGCGTTGCCATAGTCGCACATGCGTGTACTCAACCCGGGCTTTGTTGGACGTCGATGCTTGACGGCTCACGCTTATTCAAAATTCCGGACCTCAATGATGCCATCACGAATTTTATCATTTATTTTGACGGCGCTTTGCCTCCATACCAGGGTAGCTTTGTTCTTTGCGAAGTCTTTCTGGTTTTGAGACCATGGATCTACCGCATTTCAACTTACCCGGCGAACATCGGCCACGCCAACTGAGGAAAACCCATCATCCCAACAAGGAAGGCGCCAAGAATAAGCAGAATATAAGCGGTCGATTTATGGTTTCCCGGACTCCTTCCATCGTGGGACCGCTACTGGTGTATTTCAGAATACATGAGTCCACTAAAGAGGCGTTCCGAAACCACCTACTACGTCACTCTCGTACACCTACACAACTACCAGAAAGCTTGGAAGAACGGCAAAGTAGTGGCAAACAGGATATCGATGTAGCGGCCAGTCGCGCAAAGTCTAGAATGTGGAACGCTGTGAACTATAGAGGATACCGACCGATTCTTCATGGGAAGTTACGTTCAGGTGTTTGAACGCATCGGAGCTTACCCCGGGCTTGGAACGCCTGTTTACGAGCGCTAGCTTCGGTCTTGTCTCTCGACAGATGTTCCTCGGCAAAAGCTTAAATCTTCCGGCACTACAACCGTACTACGTCCGTAAACCCTGTCATCCCCGCAAAATATACACCAAAATCTTGGGGAGGCACACCGCGGAAAACCTGGAGTTGCAACCTCGTGACATATTAGCGCTCGTAAAGGTACATGCTTCGTCGCTGTTGGAGGGAAAACTCCATACCCCGGATATCGAGCTTCTATTCTCATCTAGTGTGCGGACGGAGAGTTGCAACGATTTAGATGACCATGTCAACAACGATGCAACGCCATTTGTTTAAATATCGTCCATGTACAAACTTTTTGGTTGATCCAGAAGATCGATCCTCTTGTGCCAATCGCGACAAAAACCAGACATGCCTTCACAAAGGAACACCCTCGTTCTAGGCCTTGCGGCTACGGCTTCGGTTGTTGCCGCTGGACCCTGCGATATCTACGCCACCGGCAATACCCCTTGCATCGCTGCTCACAGCACCACCCGCGCCTTGTACAGCTCCTTCAGCGGCTCCCTCTACCAGGTCAAGCGCGGCTCTGACGGCGCTACCACCAACGTCGCACCTCTATCTGCTGGTGGTGTTGCTAATGCAGCAACGCAAGACAAATTCTGCGCTAACACCACTTGCCTCATCACCATCATCTACGACCAATCTGGTCGTGGCAACCACCTCACGCAAGCTCCACCAGGAGGCTTCAAGGGCCCGGAAGCTAACGGCTATGATAACTTGGCTGCAGCTGATGGTGCACCAGTCACACTGAACGGTCAGAAGGCGTATGGCGTCTTTGTAAGCCCAGGTACTGGCTATCGCAATGACAAAGTGAGCGGTTCGGCGACTGGTGACGCAGCAGAGGGCATGTACGCTGTGCTCGATGGCACGCATTACAATGGCGCGTGTTGTTTCGATTATGGAAACGCAGAAACCAACAACCTCGACACAGGTATATGGCACAAAACGACACCTTCAATTCCAACTGACAAACGCCGCAGGTAATGGACACATGGAAGCCATCTACTTTGGCGACAATACCGTCTGGGGCTCCGGTTCCGGCAGTGGACCCTGGGTCATGGCTGATCTGGAAAATGGCCTTTTCTCTGGCGCAAATCCGAAGAACAATCCTGCCGACCCTTCAGTATCCTACCGCTTCTTGACCACCCTCCTCAAGGGCGGAGCAAACAAGTGGGCTATAAAGGGGGGTAATGCTGCCTCCGGCGCACTGTCAACATACTACAATGGCGCGCGCCCCAGTGCTTCAGGCTACAACCCCATGAGCAAAGAAGGCGCCATCATCCTCGGTATCGGCGGTGACAACAGCAACGGTGCTCAGGGAACCTTTTACGAAGGCGTCATGACATCCGGTTACCCAACCGATGCAACGGAGAGCGCGGTCCAAGCGAACATCGTTGCGGCGAAGTATGCAACTACGTCCTTGACCAGCGGTCCGGCATATACAGTCGGTTCTTCGATCTCGCTCCGTGCGACAACAGCTGGATACACGGACCGGTATCTCGCACATAATGGCGCGACAGTGAACACGCAGGTTGTGTCTTCAAGCAGCACTGCATTGTTGAAGAGACAGGCTAGCTGGACAGTCCGCGCTGGTCTTGCGAACAGTGCTTGCTTTTCGTTTGAGTCGAAGGATACGGCTGGAAGTTATATCCGTCACTATAACTTCGTGTTGCAGATGCAGGCGAGTGACGGAAGTAAGGCGTTCAAGGAGGATGCGACGTTCTGTCCCCAGACTGGGTTTTCTGGTTCTGGTACTTCGATCCGCGCATGGGGGTATCCTACTCGGTACATCAGGCATTACAACAATATCGGGGATATTGCGAGTAATGGGGGTGTTCATGACTTTGATGCTCAGGCGTCATTTAATGCTGATGCCACTTGGACGCTTGAGAAGGGGTTGGCGTAGAATGTTCATTACCGTGGTGGAATGGCTGCTGGAACACAATGCTGGGAGAGGGCGACGGAGCAACCTTTTGATGTATATGATTACAACAGAGAAATCGCAGTATCTAATCCAGGCTTAGTAGCTCAATCCAATCAAGTCACTAATAACATTTATACCCACCCCTCCGCCCTACGTGCTGCTTCGATGAGCATCTTTGCCTGAAGTGGAACATTTGTAACCTGGCCTGCAAAGATCTCGTCGATAGAGATCTCCTTGCCATAGAACCTTGCATTTTCGTCGAATCTCTCGATGACGATAGTCGTATCCAACTGAAGCCCACAGTAGATTCCTCGGCTCTTCATATAAGTCCACAAAGGCTTATGTGTTTCGGACAGTTCGACCTCCAATAGCCCACCAACTCCTATTGGCCCTGCTACAGCACTCATCTCACCACGTAGCGTAAAGCGGAATCTGTTGAATGATTTGAGTGCTTCGTAGCTGTTGATCACGACGATACAGTCGTAAATATCGATCCCAGCCATGAAACCAAGACCCAGAGTTTGGACGTGAATTCCAGATGGCGGGGACCAGTCACCGTCTTCTTTCCTCGCGATGACGACGCCAGATCCGCCAGCAGTAGAGATTGAAAATCCACTGCGCATGACAGTGAAGATAGCAAGCCCGACACAGTTTTGGAACACCCTTTGCGGTATCTTAACTACAACTTTCGGTTTACCTTTTGGACCCAGAGAATCAGGTGCTGAAGACCGCTTGGGATAGCAGTCATTCTCTCCGAAAAGTTAGTGCCCTTTTCTTAAGCTAGTAAGATCGAACATACTGCAAAACGATGCTAAGATTCGAGCCGCTTTGTCGCACTCATGATCAAGTGTAGTAGGCCACCACGCTTCAGATCCTATTCGGTTCGAAAAACTGTTCAGGGAGCCACCTATTTTCTCAAGTCCCGATAAAAGTCTGTCTCCTAATCTCTTCTGCTGGAAGATTGGAGCGCCTTCTTCTGGAGATCTAAATGGGGTCTGGGTTGCAGGCATTGGTAAAGGCACGAAGGTGAATGTAGAGATATGCTTGGGACTGAAGAACCTGTAAATGAGCTTTTGGAATACCTTTCGGTGAGCCTAGCTTTCCGAGCCGAATTCTACTGTCGGGATTTAGAGGAGCCTCGGGGACCAGTAAGCTTATCCAGTGCACAGAGTACTCCGGCATCGTAGCATGATCGGACCGAATACAGGGGAAGGCAGCGCATTGATATTGTACATTGCAAAGCATGGTATAAGACATGAGATGTGTACGCTGATCGCGTGGTAGCTGAACCATAAAACTCCTAAGTTAGCTGCATCTTGAATTGCGCTGAGCAACGTTCGCGACTGAGTAGCAGAGTGAAACCAGTTGACAGGTGCGAGCTTTATCGGAATCCGAGGACCCTAGCCGCGGGCGCCAGCATCGGTGTCCGTGCAAGCCGAGGGACAACTGAGAACAATATCGCCCGCTCTTGCATTCACACCAGGCTAATCTACGACAGTCAACAATATCTACCACAACATGTTGAAGCCGAGCGTCCGTAATGAGCAGGTCGCATCTTTGTCTCGTGCAATAAACTACCCTTCTTGCTACTAGCGTAGTTAGGAGATTGAAGCTGACATTCATACTAGTGTGAGAATTGTCGTGCCAGAGAGGTCAACATGGAGTTGGCAAACATCACGCGAGATTAGGCTAAGTGTATGTAGACGCGCTGCAACAGGAATTTCCCATGGTCGAGCGGCCAGATTCTGGGTGTGTAATGTCAGCCCACTTCGGGAACAACCGAGCAGCGCCCTCGTATATACAGGACTTGTAGTGAGTACGTATGATATCTCTCCCGAAGACGGGTCATCCGGCGTCCTACTAGCGTTCATCCCAGCGGATGAGGCACGCAGACTCAACGAAAAGTTCCACGGAGATGTTCAGGCTATGGTCACCAAAGACTTCGTCAACATATTTGGTCCAAAAGTTTCAGCCGCTACGGAGTGGATCATTCAACAGTGGAACCAGAAAGAATACACGCGCGGCGGATATAACGGCAAATTCCCTCCTGGAACGCTTACCAAGTGCGGCCCATGCATTGCAACGCCATTCAGAGCATTCGATTCGCTGGAGTGAAGAAATCACTCTTTTAGCGAGGTTACGTGGATGGGGCAATAAGCGCAGGTAAGAGAGTGGCGGCTGAAGTATTGGACTCCCTGAGCTACATTCAAGGCAAGGTTATGGCGCCTCGAAGAAGCACAGGGCATGTCGTAGTTGAGACGATCACATCTGAGTGACGGGATTCAGAAGTGTAGATTGATCTTGAGAGGAGATTTTCGTGTGTGGTATGGTCTTCTATCAGCAGCAAAGGGAACAACAAGACAGAGTGGATGATACGTATCCTTGGCTTGGAACAACGTTGCACAATTATGTCAGAATGTTACTCATAGCTTTCTGCTGCTAGAAAAACCCACCTTCCTTCTCAGCTCGAGCCTGAGCCTGCTTCTTTTTCCGATCTTTGGCAGCGGCGCGACTCGCCATCGCTGCCTTTGAGAGACCAATCCGCTTAATGGCTCGTCTCCGTGCAGCCTCGTCCTTTCTAGCTTGCTTCTCCCCGTGTTTCTGTTGCTTTAGCATGGTGTGCGCTCGCATGACAGCCTGTTCACCTTCCATCTTCTCGTATTTGAGCTTGTATGCCTTAACCACCTCTTTTCCTGTCTTCGCATGTGTACCCATAATCGTTTCTATGAAGGTAAACTCCGGATGTAGGTAGGGCCTATCTAAAATACCAGCAACCGAAATAAAAGTTCCACCGATATTGATCGTTTTGATTGAGAAGGGAATAGTGAGCCAGCTAATGTTTGCGTCATCATCGTCAACGCGCTTCTCAAATATGTGGTCAGGGGCCTTGATCAGATTTTTCGGGATCTCTCGCCTGCCCTCAACCCAGTCAAACTTATTCACACCGCCATGAACGTCGCCGTTCGTCTCGATATTTGCGGACATGGCAGGAGCGACATGTTGAATGTGCTTCTGAGCTAAGAGATTCACTTCGCGGCGGCGCTCGTGGCCAGTCGGAACGGACTTCGGTATAGAAATGTGACCCTGCTTCCTCATGCTTTCGAAGACCTTGTCAGTATCGATAGACGGTTTCACTGATGCAGCGACTGCGAGAGTGTGGTAACGCCGTGCGGCTTTGCCACTATCAGTCTTTTCACTCTCCTTCATCTTCTTATGTTGGTGAGACCTCCCGAGCTCGTGTTCTGTATCGTCATCGGCGGCGAAGCGTTCGACTTTGCGCTTCTTGATACTAGAGTGCTGGGCGGACCTTTGAGGCTGCGAAATATGATTAGAAGGAATCAAATGAGCAGTGTGTGCGGCACTTACAACGGGAGGTAAACCAAGGCCTACAGTAGTCTCATTTTCGGATAAACTGTTCGGAACCTCATTCTCCCCGAGCCCAGAAGGCGCCAGTGTGGATGAAGGTGGGCTTTCCGCTCCAGGGTTGAAGATTCTGTACTTTCTGACGGTGGGTGTCGTGGACATCTTGCAGATAGTGATCGAGTCGGGCGAAGTTTTCTGGTTGGAGATAATCTGAGCCGGAAGTTCAAGAAATCGGAAATGCCCGGGTGTTGAGGAGCAGATGTGGCAGGTATCGAGTTAGTGCCAGAGAGAACAGCGGTTGTATGTTAACAGAATTATCGATCGGTACAAGGAAGCGAATAGGAAATCACTGCCTATTTAAGAATGATAGTGTATATAATGTTAATGATTACATAATGCAAAGGTTATCGCGGACGTATTAGTGAAAAGGTTACCTGGCGCTGGCGATAACTTAGTAATACCTTGACATTGTATCAATTCGGAAGGGTTAAGTCACGGAGCATACTGATGCTTGACAGGCCCTGATCCAGTTAAGGACTCATAATTTGCTCAATCGTTCCACAGTTTGATGAGTTGTCAGAACGACATCGGCCTCGGCCGTGTAAGTCATCTGTTGCGTGTACGCCATCTCTGCATTGCAGCTACCGTCAGGTCCACGGTAACACAAACGCTTAGTGCTTTCAAGATCGGCGTATGCTTGGCCTCTACTCCGTAATGACATCGTCCACAGATGCCATCAGCTTCTCTTATCAACAACGATCGTGTGATGATTCTGGTGAGTGCACAGTATGCATGGAGTCATGTTGCACCTTGTTACCGAGTTGCGGCGGGCTTCGACAGGAGCTTGGGATTTATACAATTTGGTACACAGCAAAGTAGCACTTGATTGCCAATGAGTATGGATCGGTAGTGAGGCTGAAGAGGTCATGAAACGAGATGACATGGCGAGACAGCGGTATTTCCCAATACTGACCGCACCACTAAGTACCCTCACGATCTGTTTCGTTTTTGCGTCTGGAGGAGTGTCCTTCTAGAGTTTTTATACAATACTTTGATCCAAGTATCTGCTCGAACGATAGAGCTCGAATCCTTGAGTGATCGCGTCGAGGCCACCAGTTAACAGACGAACCTCATCGGCGACGATCGCCTTTCGCGCGAACCAGCAGTGAGGGTTTCGTATAGAGCTCGTCTGATAAATGACAGCCGCTCTCTCGTTTCTGTAGAATCCAAAAAATGATCACCTTTCAGTACCCCCAGTTGCTGTACGGATCGATCTCGTGAACGGACCTACTTTGAGCGTGTGTGAATCGGCTCCAATATCTTCATAAAAGGACCGGGCTTATTACGCGCATAGACAGGGTAGATCGTCGCGGGGTATGATAACGCGGCTCTACCCGCAAGCTTCAACAGTTAGATGCAGCCGTCGTACTTTGCGTCTATCTTCTGTGTATGCTTATCTCGTAACAGAAGTAGCTATCTTGTGCTAGACTTGTCGCACTCGATATCTGGTATTATAGATTCCTTAACGATGTCGTAATCATCAACGTCTTCGTTTTCATAGCCTTCACCGGCTACGTCGCGAGTTGTCAACACTTCGTGCTGCCATCTACCGAAATGGTGCATGGACCAAGTTAGTGAATTTTTCACATGCAGTCGTACAGGGACACTCCTGCACTCTGTACTGATCTTGCCATCTGCGCTTGCTATTGAGGGTTGCATCACCATGATAAGATATCGCAGGAAGCGAGGCTGCCAGCCACAGCAGACCTGCCTGCACAGCTACATCCACCCAGAAAGACACTCAGAAGTCGGCGCAAGATGCAGGCAGAGTGGCAGTGAATTCGCGCATGGAGGGATGACAAAGAAGACCACGCGACACACACACACACACACACACACACACACGCCCACACCCACTAACAACCCTGCGAAAGCTCATCAAGCGGGGGAGTGCACTGCCGATACAGCTGTGGACCGATAAGATCGGTCGGGACGACTCCATATCCAATTGATAAGCTCCGGACATCACCAGCCCCCGTCGAAGCTGTGTAGAGCGGCGAAGGACCGTCACCTCCATCATTCTCCGCTACAGCACGTGCAAGAACCCCCGGAACCGCATCTTCGCCAAGCGAACTGATTAACACAGTTTAGGAACTATCCTAAGCACGACGTAGCAAGCCACCAAAGCCATCAAGTTGATCCGGCGTAGACGCCGATTCTTGGGTATGTGGGGATCAGGAATACGTGGATAATAACGAGCGTTAGGGAGACACTGTATGCACAGCGGACGCGACAGATGAGGCGACGCGCCTCTACGAGCCTAGAAACACAACACACAGCTGGTAGGACAGATATCCAGGCGGGCGGCCAGGCGCATTGAAATGACGGTTGAGTAGGTGCTGGTCAGCTTATTGGAGTGAGATAAGCAGCGCTGACAGGGAGATCTGTGTGCATTCCTACGGTACAAGAGCTGACAAGCGCGACAGTCGTAGTAGAAGTCTCTGTTATGTGCGTGAGTCAAAAAAAAACTGCGAACGCCTTAGGCTCTGACTTGTGTTAGTTCCAAGCTAAAGGAAGTGGCGCTGCTCATTTGGTCGCGGTTCGGTCGGATTTGTCCGTGCCTCGACATCCGCGCAACCGAGACTAGTCAGGGGCTTGAGCGAAACCCCTGACTGTTCGTGATTTTGACACCTATCAGCGTTCAACTCGGTACCTGCTAGTAGCTCTGGGCAAGCTTGGTTACAATAACAACAAGCACTCAGCGTCTGCCTAATTTAGCTCACCGGTTTTACCATTGAATCCAACCATGAGATTGAACCCATCTCGAGTGCACATACGAAGGGAAGGCGACGCTAGATGACATCTTTAGTCGTGCCGCGGGTTGCAACTGAAAGAAAGTCAAACCCTTAGCCACCAGCAATATTGATAACGTAACGATCTTGAAAGCACCTTTCGACCATCGACTTTGCAAAAAGACGCAGCTTGGCAATCTCCAGGGTCGGATGCAGCGTCTCGACAAGGGTTTCATCTACGAACGCATACCTCGTGTCTGTTGTGTGGAACCAGGCGGCCTTACACCAAGCGTAGTCTAAGTTTTTTCCAGCCTTCCTTCCTTATGCCACCAGTGAACGTGCTCCACTTCTTTGTTGCGACTTCCTGCTTCGGCTATGGTGCGAGAAGAAATTCATATTGCTTTGCAAGCGAGGCATCCTTCAGGCTTTCGGCCGTTGGCCCTTTATGTCTTGCATCTGTCACGCATCATGTTCTGCTGTTTCTTCTGTTCCTCCTCCCGGGCTCATAACGTTCTTTATGCCACGGCACGACACTCGTTTGGAACTTACGACGTAATAAACTGTTTGGCAGTGGCGCCCACATATCCACTCGCTCGCTTACTCAATACTGTACTGTAGTCTATCTTCGACTGATCCGGCTCGCACGATGCACCTTTCCGCCACTGTCGCGGCTACCGCGGTTCTCTTGTCTTTCGCAAATGCTCATGGTGGCTTTGGACTGCCACAAATCCAATCTCACGACCAAAGGATTCATGCACTGCTGGCCAGCTTCAGGACTGAGACTTTCGGCATCGACTCACACGTGGAATCGGCTCTGGAGGTACGAGCAAGTGCTAAGGAATGCGGCGAGGGTATTGGATCATGCCCCGAAGATAGGGGCTGCTGTTCAACGGCTGGCTGTACGTTGATTGAGCACAACGATGATGGTATACTGACACTAACAGACTGTGGCTCCAATTCTACTTATTGCTCCTCTCCCGGCTGCCAATACAAATACGGGCCTGGCTGTCCGGAGAATCTGAAGCCAGCTGGCAAGAATACTGAGTCCATCCCCCGAGCAAAGATTGGTTCAGTCCCGTATGGAGGCAACGGTATCTATGGTGGATTCTGGGCTTGCAAAGACCCGGGTCAGGTCGCCATCACTTACGATGACGGACCAATGAAGGATACGACCACAACTATCCTGGATTTGTTCAAAAAGTACGACGCCAAAGCGACCTTCTTTATCACTGGCAACAACAACGGCAAGGGACAGATTGATGAGACTCAAGAGTACATCGATGTGATACAACGCATGGATGCAGAGGGACATCAAATTGCATCCCACACATGGACGCATCTAGACTTGTCCAAGATTGATGCAGATATCCGCAAGGACCAGATCCTCAATGTGGAAGGCGCACTGAACAACATTGTTGGGAAGATCCCGACTTACATCCGCCCGCCTTACTCTAGTTGCACGACTGAGTCTGGTTGTGAGCAATTTATGCAGGATATGGGTTACCACATCATCTACTTCAAGCTTGATACGGATGACTACCAGCAGCAACCCCGAAACACCTTCCAAAACTCGCTCGACTGGTTCAAGGGCAACATGACTGCGCCAGGTATGACTCCCGAAAAGAACTCTACAATCTCCATCTCGCATGACATCATCCATGAAACCGCCAACGAGCTCACAGAGCTCATGCTCAAAACCATCACCGAACTTGGTTACAAAGGAGTCACTGTTGGCGAGTGTCTTGGTGACCACAAGGACAACTGGTACCGTCAATTTGGCGACTCTGCCAACCGCGTTGGAACCGACTACGCCTCCACATCGGCAAGCTCAAATCCCACTTCCACATCCTCGCAAGGAACACCCAGCTCGTCTTCCATGGTCGGGGCTTCTTCGAGCTCGCCTTCTGACTCCAGCACTGCTTCAGGCATCGCTGATCCTAAGCAAGCTGGAAGTGCCGCCTCTACCATGCAGAACGCTGGCCTAGCTATCTTGGCACCTGCGTTCGCATTTGCTATCCTGGCCTTCTGAACGAAACATGTTGTACAAAACATCTTGTATATAGAGAGATAATAGCATCCTGAAACATGGTCGTCTTGTATATGATACAGACAGCTGTAACCGCAAACTGTACTTGTACTTAATTACAGGTCAAGCGCTATAGCTATTGAGCCTATTAAGCCAAGCTTACGGCCACGACTGGTTTGGCGGGCTTATTGCCATGTCTGATAGCAAGCTGATTGTACTTGAAATGGATACAAGGGAAGCAACGCATCTTGCGATCGGAGGGCTCAAGCTGAAGGTGGTAAAGTTCAGAATGCGAGGAAGTCCATGCAACATGCATCAAATCAGTGCGAAAGCCTCCAAGTTGACTCCTCGACTGCGCAAAGCATGGGGTAAGAGTCTTGGATCTGAATTGATAATCCGACCCGTGGGAATGTGTTCGAAGTATGTTATATGAAGTGGATCGTCCAGGGTACGCTGTCTGTACACCCTTCTCCAACTCTCGTCAAGAGGAGGCAGTCGTGGATCTTCGCTCGTTAGGCATCCTGTGTCGTTGTTATAGTACTTGAAGACAAAGGCACCTTCATTGAGATGTTGCTGTACCGTCCATGGTCTTGGTAGGTTTCCTAGTAACGCTTCGCCATTCATCAGACCCTGTACATAGCATCTCCCGATAACAGTATAGGCTCCGTTCTCCTGAGGGCGCAGGATCATTGGAACATAGCAGCCCAAGAGCACAACGATAATATCTCCAGGTTGTATAGTGGATGGTCCAAAGCCAAGGTAGTCGTTATCTAACTCCATCAACGATGTACCATGCAGTTTCTCTTTTATACGGGAAGAGATAAGACTTTCCTCCCAAGGCCTTCGATCTTGAGCGACTGCATCAGCCCAGCGCGTTCTTAGGTCCTCCAATAGGGGCCACTGAGGAGCAATCGTATTTCTGTCTCGAACCATGTCGAATTGAAGAAGTCTTATCCATGCATCGAGCATGCTTTCATCAGTCGGGTAGAGCTTATCAGACCATCCACTGGGTCGATGTGTCTCGAGCAGCTCAGCGGCTTGTGCAATATCTTGTGGAATCGGTGCGCTAGAAATGACAATTCTCGCGTGTCGAATCCCTGTGACATCTAGCCGATGGGGTGGAATATAGATGTACTCGCTTCGTGAATCTGCTGCTGCTTGCATCATGTCAGGGCGTACTGTCTTTGGAGGTACAGATGACAAATCCAAAATCCAGGAAGCAAAGGTTGCACCTGTCTCATCAGATATCTGGGAGACACACAGCGGCAAGATATCCAGGCGTGCCGTGATATGCATGTAGCTTAAGCAGAATTCTTTGTACACATTGCAGTAAGACTTGGTGTAATCGGGTTTGATACGAGTGGCTAGCTGTGGTGGCGCCAGACTCAACAGACCGTAGATCTTATCGCGCATGTCAAAACACTGACGTATGCGGCTCTGAGCAAGTAGCTCAACGAGTGTTGTGTGAGGACGGGTTAAGAAAGCCACCCATTCCATGCGTTGGCTAAGCCGTGCTGGAACATGTTCAGCGTCCAAAAGCGCTTCTGTCGCTCTCCGAAGTTCAGGCAAAGCCAGAGTATCGCCTCCACATAGAATCAGAGAATGTCGGCTGGCTAGGCGAAGCTCTTGAATGACCCAAAGTCTGTCAAAGTAGGGATAGTCGAAGAGGGCTACGAGTTTGACCCATGTTCCATCGTCTAAAGGTGGTCTGTCAACGCGAGGACGCCACTTACTCTTGTTATTCGTCGAGCGAAAGATCCAGCCATCGTCCGATACCTCCACTAAATTTGCCAGATTTTTTAGCGCTGCAAGTGCTTGACCACTGCCCGAGGTAGACATCCCTAGCCACGCGACAACTCTTTTTGCCTGATGGTATATCAATCCCATCCGAGTTACCTCCCGGCTACGCTCTGCCATGTTGCGTTGGTTGATGCACACTGCATCCACCCAAAGGACTCGATGTGTACCGACTAGACGCAAATGACGTAGTGCATCTGCAAGATTCCGGCGAACCTTCATTGGAAACATTACCCGCTCTTCAAGAGGTTTGAAATGCGCAGTATCATCCTTGTATACGAATATAGACACTAAGTCATCTGGTGAGCCCCAAACGTACGAAAGTGCCTCGTAATCAGGCTGCGAATTGTCTTGAGTATCGCCAACGGGCTCTTCATATAGTCTTGCATCGGTAGCTGCATTTGGGTGCTCGTATTGCACATTGTAGCCTGGTGACGTGAAGAAGTGTTTGCCCTCCGGATTTGTAAACACCTCCCAACCCTCTGGCAACTGCTCCCTGAGTTTGATCTTAGAATGGAGTCGTGCCTGCCCTTGCGACTGCATATCCCGGGAAAAGAGTGGCGCGTGTTCCAGAACAATGCAAATATCGTCAGTAAAGTTGCCATTCGACGGAAGTAGCCGCAGCAGCCTTATCTCGTTCTCACGCAGGTCGGAGTAAGTGTAAGAAGTCATGCTGTAGTGAAGGTGTATCGTTCATCAGCCGGTACGTCGCTCGCTTCAACGGCCGACCGTGCAAGCGGTCAAAGGAGTTTCGATTTCGGGCGTGATATGTGATGAGAGGAGTTCGATAGAAGAGACTAGGCAACAGGCTGCGAAAAGCGACAGAAAGGAAGCAGCTGGAACTCAGCCTCGTGCGGGGTATCGTCAACGATTCTGAGATTATCTAGGGGACACTTGCCGTGCAGACCGGGCTCGTGCCCCACCAACACCATCCTCACTACCACAAGGATGAGGTTACCCAGGTAGTATGAATACAACATGATGCTCCTTATTCTCCTGGTATTGGAGGAGCTTGGCAGTAGCTTGAGACTAATCTCTAGAGGATATCTTAGCAGCCGCATTCTGTAGGTGGTGGCTGGAGTAAAATCATAGCACACAAAGTAAATAACATGCGTTCTGCTAAGAGGAGACGAGTTCACAACATATTCAAAGAGCATTGTGTTTTGTGTTGAGATAGGCGGGTGCAGCGAAGAGGGAGGTAAGGTGGAGAGAAAAAGACTTGCATGGTGACTACTAACTGGTACGCTCAGTCTACGGCCATCTAGATTGTTCACTACGCCGTTCTAGCGAAAAACTTCACACTTCGCATGCGCAATCACTTTGTTGCGGGTATAGAGGAGGCGACGAAGTTTCGTAACACGTTATTGTCATTCGGTTTTCTTATGTAACAGGAGTAAGTACATGCGAGCTCAAAGGCACAAAGTAAGGAAACACGGATGAAATCCTCCGTCAATTTGACCTGCTTTGCATTTACTATAAACTCATTGCTTGGCCATGCCATTTACATTAGCTAGGCTGCCCCCAGCGATGATAGTGTTCGTCCCGTACAAACCACCTCATCTAATGGCCCTTGGCAAGATGATCACGCAACTTATCCTGGCGATAGAACATCTTACTGCAATCAGGATGGGTGCAAGGGAAGAAGGGGCCAGTGTGTTTCTTCATGTGGCGGCGATATTCCACACGGCGACGAAACATACCAGTACATCCGTAAGGACACTGAAGAGGAGGCGTGACAGCGGCATGCTGAAATTGGTTGTTGGATGCCGGATGGGTGGGTGCGACAGGTACCTCCGGTTGGAACTGGGATGGGGCTCCATGCGGTATCATATTTGGGCCGCTGACCTGCACAACGACGGGTATGTACACGACATGTAGGGTTACGGCGTTAAGGATGTCCTGATCCATACTATAGGGGCCTTCGATATCGGCAAGGGGCTCACCGTGACCCAATAGGTAGTTGGCATCCCCGTTCAGCACGGCTCGGGCGTCCTCCACTAGCGTGGTGCTACCATCAATGGGGGCCCACCTGAACCCCGGGTCAGCGGAGTAAAAAAAAAAAACCTACCCTAAGCCAGCCTCGCTAGCCACAGGGTAATTCTCTGGGAGGTCGATCGCCCAATGGAAGTCTTCATCGCCTGTTTGACTGATGACTGGAGTGGGAGACATGTCGATAAGTCTTCTTCATAGGTCGGAATGCTGAGTCGATTGCAGTGTACGTGAGGAGTCGTCTAGATGAGGGACAAACTTAGAAAGATGCTTTGAGCTGTAGACGGTCGGTCGCGGGAGAGCCCTGGGAATGCGTTGGTGGTATCGTGTCTTCTGTCGGTCGTAGTAAGCTGGCAGTAACAGTCAACTTTCGAAAGCGAAAATCAAGCACGATGCGCTTGGCGCGCGACGGCTGCTAGACACTCTTTCGCCTTTGTGAGGCTGAGAAGGACGTCGCACCAATTCGGCTAGTACAAAACGCCACTGTGCCCTTCGATGCATCACGAGATTAGATATGCAGCCGCGCCCTGACTATTCGACCACTCATTCATCGAAAATGAATCCGCAATAGTATTGTTTAAAACAACACTGTGCCCTTCGACACGTGGCCGGACACCGCCGAATAGATGGACCTCCGTCATTCTTCAGCCTTGCTTATGCATAGCTGACTGAGCAGCAGGAACCTTAGAAGAGCAGACTGAGAGCGAGGCTGACCTTGAGGCTCAACAACTGAACAGCCTCAAGGCGCGTCATATTGTTATCAGCTTCGTTTATCCCACGTGACTCTTCAAACACATTTTGATAATGCCGAAGTAACAGTCTCATTCAATCCAGAAAACCCTTACTCTTTTAGCAGTTAATATACAACACTCGAGCTGTCCTCAAAAATGTAGTGAGGACACAGCTTTGATAGTGAGGAGAAGGAAATGCAACGCATAGAACGATACCGTTATCCAGCATCCATATTGTCGGAATGAAACCGAACTCATACGAAATAAACCTTCCCATTTTACTGCTTCTCATCATCTCATCATCTCAACCTCATCTCACCCTCACCAAACCCACTCAACCTCCCATCCATCCTGTTCCCGTCAGGCTGCCCATCGGCACACCCATGACGGCCCACATAATCAACAATACCATCAACTAAAGTCATTGTGGAAGGCTGTATCTGTACTTGTAAGTCCCTGCTAGCACGTACCTAGTGACAGGTACTCACTATATCGCTACCCTCTCTCCAGCCCCGACTACCGGATGCAAGCCCAAGGGCTCCGGGACCAGCTCACGTGCCGACTCAGAAAACGACGCCCCACAAAAGCTCGGCGGGGAGCTTTAGCCATTCCACAACCTTTGACGCCCCAGATTCCGGCTGCATATTTTTAGGCTGATGTCGTTCTTGTGAACCAGGAGCACAAGGAGGGACAGGGATGATCACATGTCCCGGTCTTTGATTTGTGCCAAACACGGAAAGCTTATTGAATCTACACTGCTACGTGCACATTCGATGTTCGATTTCTTCTAGTCTAAGCCACGTAAGTCAAGCAGTTCAAAATGCGCTGCTATAGCGTGATTGCTGAGCGCGACGACTGTGATATGGCTGCTAGTGAGATGATCGCGGCCTAGATGCGTATGTGGATCGCGCGTGAGCTGTGTTGGATATAGTCAGATCAGAATGCAAATCATTGATGATCCCTGAAGTAAAATGCTTTGAACGAGACGAATATCTCATGCCTTGCGCTTCGCCTTCTTATCTACCTGACCCCCCGTAGCCTCTTCTCCGCCTTGCAACAAGGCAATCGCCGACAGTCGTAACTAAAGCTTTCAAACCTGCTCCACATGCTGGAGTTTCTTACTCTCTCTCCACTTAGGCCAACTGATGCCAACGGACGTAATGAAATATGACACACTATGCTGGTCAGTATATACTTCAAACTCGCACACCACCTTGGACTGCACAAATTACCTTAACAACAGCGCAAACGTGGCTGCGATCCCAACTGTCGTACAGCTACTGCCCACGCAGCGCTTGCCGCCCATACACGAGATGATGAAAGCCGTAAACCAAAGCAGGCAATCGAGCGCATCAAAAAAGAAGTTCAGCCGCGGGCTACCGAACCGGCGGAACCGATCCACATGTGTGGTGAGATACTGGTACAATAAGAACAGGGCGGATTTGATCGAGTAGACGAGCACCAGCGTGGTGGAGCGCCCGCGTGGCATCGACGAGTCGGCGAGCAGCGCACATCCAGTAATAAAGGCTCCGAGCACGAGGATGGCTTGCGTGATGTGAATGGTGCGGTTGAAGCGGTTCGCGAATGCGGATAAGGCCGCGAAGGGGTTCATAGTTGGAGCTTTGGCGTAGCGGGGTGGAAGTGCAGTTGAAGTGGCGTTGTTATCGTTGCTCCCGAGTAGGTCTTTTTGGGCTAAGCAATGCAACGAATCATAGGGATGACATGAGGTCTCGCAGTTGTTGTCACAGAAACCTATCGCCCTACCCTATATATGTATGATATACCTCTTTACCCCCGCCAAGGAGTTTGCAATGTTCACACAGCCTCTCAGCTCATGTGTATGGGCTAAACAAACACGCAGTACGAGTAAAACCGTGCATACGCGCGCAAACCAAGGCTCTTGATCTCCTGCTAAGACACAATAATTCCTGCCAATGCGTTGGATGGGACGTCGTTGCTCCGCTGTTTCGTGCTGCTAGGCTTGCCGATCCATGACTAGTGCCGGATCGCGTACTCGCTTATCTGCGTGTACGAACTACGAGTACGGGAAACAGGTTCTAAACCTTCTTGCGAGTGCATCAAGTGCTTTGTGTAGGGAGGCAAAGTTTTCATGCAAATATGGTTCCGATAACGAGCAGCCATGGCCAAGACGACGGCCTCACTCTTTGCGCTTCGCCTTCTTCCCTGTCTGTCCCTTCACTTCATCTTGACCACCCTGTAATAAAGCCAGCGCCTCATGCAGCAGCCTCTTCTCACCAAGCCTGACCTCGATGGCCATGCGATGTCTCTTTTCGAAGCTTCCTACCTTCAATAGCCTCTCGTCGTCGTCTATTGATGTCGGATATAGCGCCAGCTTAGCGGCGAGCGCCTTGGTCACAACGGTGTTGAAGATATCCTCCCGCTTCCGCTTCTCCGCGATGAGCCCGGGATTGCTCTTCTTGAGAGCCTTCAGCACAGCCTTGAATTGTTCCTCAAGCTCCTGCGAAACGTCGCGGAGTTGAGCTGTATGTGTGAGCTGCCCTTCCGAATTCGGTTCGCCGGAATCTCGCTCGATGATGAAGTATTCTTCGAGCTCTTCGTCCTCTTCGAGCTTTGCCTATGGCGCTGTCAGTGCATTCACTGAAAAGTTCGTACCGGCTGCTTACCTCGATCTTTGCGACTATCTCGTCCGACAGACCGAGCTCTTGAATGAGCGCTTCGCGAACAAGGCTCCATGGTAGCTCAACTACGTCGTATCGGTGGTGTTCGGGTGTCACATACCCATAGCGACGTAGTAGCTCTGATGTCGGCAACGGACCATAGTAATTGAGTACTTCTGAGCCAGCTGGCAGTGTTGAACGGAGCGACGTGACTTCAAGGCTGTCACCGTGGTTCACATGTGCATTGAACTCGGCATTAGCGTTGAGTATATCCGCCATGGGTACCATACCAAGCGGCGTGGTACCTTCTCGGTCTTCAACCCAACCGTCTTCCTCCTCGTCTTCCTCTTCGTGCTCATTGGCGAGATCGAACGCGTACGACATGATCGTGCTACCCATACGATGTGCAAGAGCAAGCAACTCTTCCTCGCCTGACTCACGAGCTCCATCAGGGTAGAATACTTTGGGATTCTGCTGAACGACAGGCACGACTTGTGATCGCAGCATCTCATCACTTTGTTGCTTTCCAATCTTCTCCGTTGATAGACAGGTGTTTTGGAGCTCCTTGATTTCCGAGTCAGACCAGAAGATGGGCGTGTCGAAAGTTGTCGGCAGTACATCCATGTATGGCTTCCAGCGTGACGCATCGCCTTGTAGATACTCGTATATCATGACCAATATCAGAGAAGTCCATGAATCCAATGGTTCGTTCTCATCATCGGCTTCGCCATCCGTCAACGTATCGAAGACTTTGGGTAGTTTGCTCGGTAGTTGCGATGTGTTCACACTAATGATTAAATCTCTAGGTATAGTGAATAACGTTGTGTCTTCTGGTATGTCTTGTTTTGCGACTGCATGCTGTCAATCGATGCTCAGATCGTGCATACCTGACTCGCAAGCTTACCTATTCCTCGACCTGCGTCCTTGGCTCTTAGATCCTGTATCTCAAGCAAGTCATCTCGAAAGACGCCTCCGCCAGCCTTGAACCACGCCAAGAAGCGGTCGGTCGCGCCATTGAAGTCATCCATATCTATCGTCCGATTCTATAGAAGTCGCGCACTTTGGAACGTTCACGATCGATCACGTTGACGCAGGTGATGGTGTTGTGAGAGCAAGAGATGGGCTGGGATAAATGATCCAAACGTCCGGGCGAGAGGCTTCACCGATTGGGTGGGTGCAAAATCGGACGTGACTAGCGCAACAGCGCAGATCGCGAAGACCGCGCCGGGACACGTGCGGCGATGCCTCCTCCCTTCTTATGATGCACCATGCCCAGGACCGACATTAAGTCTTCAGTTCGGCAATCACGAACAGCTGAAACATCCATGGGAGGATATAGTGAATGCGAAGGCGATCAGGTTCGTCTTACGTCCAGGTAAAGTATGGCGCTCACGTGATAAGCGTCAAGAAGATGTAGATGCGAGGTGTGGCTGTAGCTGCGCTCACAATGACCAGAACGAGTCGACCTTTTATTATGTGCTCAACGATGCCGAGCTGTATATCTCATCTTCTGTTTGCAGGCGTGTCACTCCAACGACGGGGCCGTGGTGGCCAGTCCAAAGACAGTTAGCGCGCGATCGGAGGGCGAGAAATTCCGGTTCCGCAGGCTGCCGCGCTCGTCAGCAACACGACGCTCGAACGCGACTCGACATCAACCTACGTCGCTGCCGACTCCTTCGTCCATCTCAACGTTTGTTACCTGACGCCGCCAACTCAAAGTCACTGTTTCTCGTCAGCTGCTCTTACCCGTCCTGTCTTCGCCCACCCGCTGCCTCGCCTCAGTTCGCCATTCCTCAAAGGACCTTTGACGTGCGCACGGCGTCGTCGGCTTACAGCCCACGCGCCGGCGGTCCACGCGTCAGAGGGGTGTTTCTCAAGCAGTCGAGGGTAGTGTGAACACAGTGGGAACAGCAGTTCACGAGCAGGCACCACGCCTGTCTTGCAAGCCAGTGGCATCTCAGCGTCCATCGACACCAGAGTCAGGGCTGCTCTTCGCCCACAACGCGTCTAAAGCCCGGGTGGGAGGGTTTCCCTTATTTTCGCATTATTGCAAGGGGGATTTTTGCTGTGAGTCATCTTTCGCACAATGGTTCGCTATCTTGTCCCTAAGAAAGGTGTTCCTGTGCTGGCGAGCGCCAGAGTGGATGGTGCTGCACAATCATGCTGTGTTTTAGTTGCAAAGTACTGCGATGCACCATTGCAGATCAGCTTCTATCTCCAATACACTAATTTCATTCATGGCTTTGATGATCCGCAGACCTTCACCTTGATTTATGATGCTGATGACCTGATACACGACGCAACAACGCTGAAGACTGCGACCACGCCTCTCGCGCAGCACCAGCTGGCCTCGATTGCGCGCGCCGGAAACCCACAAATCAGAGTCTTAACTCTCACACTCGCGAAGCCCTGCCGAATCCGGTGTCCTCCTTCGGCTAGTACTGGTATCTTGGCGGCGAAGAGTGGCTTCGAAGCTCCTTTCCACCAGCTGGTCAAGCTCGCCGAAGCGACAGAGATACATATCCTGCTCGACTACAATTGGGTACATGCAGACAACCGTGAACCGCTCGAGCGATTTTTCACGCAACCAAACTTGTTCACCGGCTTTCCAGACGGCAATGACAGATTCAGATATGTAGATTGGACGGATTTCAATACCATTGAAGAACAAGATGCGCCTCCGCCTTCGTACGCAAAGGCCGTGGACGCTGATGCATCGCGAAAGCGGTCCAGGCATGGTAAGTCACTTTGTGCCCCAGCCGACTACACGATCACTATTGACGCTGCACGTAGCCGCCACACGCTCCTTGTCTACGTCTCCGGCTTCGAAACGTCACCAGTACGACCCCGGCTCGCCGACCGAAATCGCAACTGCGACGCCCAGCCCTCGTCCCTCTCACATATCCGTTGACTCACCAAAGGAAAAGACAGCTGTGTCATCCAGCTACCCACAAATATCCCTGGAGGTTACTGCCGCGCTTGCATTGCAGGACGCAATAAGTAGGGCGGTCGAGGCTCAGCTTCCTGCACTCGTCGAGGGCATGCTACCTGGCATCCTTAAGAACATCCTACCAGATGTCCTTCACAACTGTATCGCCCCTCGAAGATCCCCATCGCTTTCGCCTCCGCCAATAACAACCCCATCTTCCCATCCTGCCCCTACCTCACTTGGCAACCTCATCACCGACCGTTTGACGGAGCTAGCCAAGCAACACCTCGCGACTATTTTCGATGAGGCAAACGACCAGGCCTACAGCCTCCGGAATCAAGCTGACGGTGACTTTGAAGACGTCATTGCCGACCACAAAATCAACGTCGATACTATCAAGGAGGATTGCATCCGCGAATTGGGCGAAGTGGTCGACGACAAACTATACAAGTTCAAGGAGCAGACGGACGACATCGTCGCAACTGCCGTGGATGAGATGGAGAGCAAAAGCAGTGAGCTGGGTGAGAGGATGTACGATGGGCTGGAAACCTTTCTCAACGTCGCTTCCACTACCCTCAAACAGGTTAGGAAAGGTCAATATTCCGGAACACGGCGTGTCGAACAGTTGAAGCCAGATACAACCACCATATAGGTAATCATAATGAGAATGACCCACGACATACAGACAGGATGTGCCTTCCCCGCCTCGTGTCGTCATTGGTGCTTTCCACAAGTTCATGACGGCGCGAAGACTGCCACTTTTGACAGGCGATAAAGACGATCATCGAGGATACGCTTCAACACGATCGTACGTAACTCTTACATAGAAACTGAAGTAGTCATTGAATAAATAATGTGAAATTTGCATGTTAAAAGCAAACCATTAATAACACCCCAACCGCTCCCTCCCTGTCCCCCAAATCCGGCTCCGATCCTCTCATTACACAAACACAACCTACCGTCCGACCTTTCCGAAAGCAGCCTGTAACTTAGCCCAAATCTCTTCCTTTGCTCCAGATGGTTGACCATCTAGCCAGTTAGAGACATCAGAGCCGTTGAGGGCAGTCTGCAGTGCATCGAGAAGCTGACCAGGCGCTTCACTAGAACCAGAGGCAGAAGCAGCACTTGCATTTGGGTTGAATGCATTTGCAGGACGTGGTGGCCTCGGAGCTCCAGGCGCGGCAGCAGCAGACATGTGGTTCTCCTCATCGTAGCTCCGAATGCCAGTATTCGCGGGGGATGGACCGCTGGCCGCAGCTGCGTTTACATTAAAGGCATTGGCTCTTCCAGTGGTACCGGAGGTTTTTGGCTTGGGCGCATCATCTTCATCCTCGAAGAAAAGATCGGCCTCTAGCATTGCAGCAAATGGCCGAGATTGATCTTGGCCGGTGAGCTGCATGACATAGCCAAGAATCTGTGGTCCGGGAATGCGAACTACAATACCATCTTGGGTTTGCGTCGACGATGAAGAGCTCGAGTCGCTGGACGATCTTGACCCTGAACTATGGGAGAAACAGAGAAATCCGCCAGAACTCTCAGACTGTGAATCGAAGACCTTCTTGAAAGCTGATGCATCTTGAGCGTCAGAAGCAATCTTGATAACACAATCTTTGACCAAGACATAACCGACTGGGAATGCAGCAAAATACCCGGTCGGCTTCTTGTTATTATTCATGTCTCGGATGGCTTTCGTCGCATCCTCAGGGACCTCTCCCGTTTTCCACTCAGACCACGGGACGTAGTTTTCTTTGACAGCACCCCTCATGAACGACTTACTCATACTGAGCAATGAGGGATCGAACCAGCCTGATCTGTCAACGGTCACATAAGTGGTTCGCATTGCGACGTCGACTTTGAGAGTGTTTGACATCGTTCGGCTTGAGTTTTCGGCCGATGAACTGCTTGAACTTCCTGATGAGGAGCCGAGCCAGAAATTACAATTGTAGCTGCTGACCGATGAGGAACTGCTAGATGAAGTGGCGGAATATTTGTTCGAGACCACGGAAGAAATTTGAACCTCAGACCAGCGAGATCCCCCGTTGTTCTGTGGAAGCTTGCCAACTTCTGCGCTGCTCTTCTGCAGATCAGCACTTGCTGATGGAGAAGCTCTCTTGGAGATGGTGTAGCTCTCCTGAAGTTCCGCAAGCTCTGCTTTGGCACTCGTTACCTGCCTCTGCAAAGCATCGACGAGGTTCTTGGTGTCACCAGCAACGGCCTCGGAATACTGACTCATATGCTCTGTCAGGACTCGAGAAGCTTGATTGACCGCTGTGTTCGCTCGAGAGACATCATCCATTTGATTTCCGATATCTGTTAGAACAGTGCTATCGCCCCTGAATAGGTCGGCGACAGTCTTCTTGGATTCCTTAATTTCATCGCTATCACCCGTAACCGGTTCCTTGTTTAGAAATTCAAGACCGGCTTTGGCAGTTTGGAGAGCCGCAGTAGTAGGATTTGCGAGTGCAGCAACTTCGAGGGCTAGTTTGACCGCAGATATAGTCGAGGCAGTATACTTCTGTTGAAGCTTAGCCATTGCTTCTTCTCTTGCAGCTGCAGCATCAATCATCTTCTGCTTGGCCTCAGCTGGGTCGCCCTTGTTGAAACCACGTAGATTGGCCATCTGGGTCTCCAGAGTGTCAATGAGTTGAGCTTTGGCTTTGACGGCTGCCTCGATGAGAGCAGAGTCTTGCGATAAGTCTTCACGGGTGAAGCCTGTGTCGAGCGCTTCGAACCAATCCGTTGGCTGCATAGCTACGGGCCAGACTGAAGAAGCTGTATACACGGAAGAAAGGGCCGACTGTCGGAATGCGTCCTTTGCGTCCTGCAGAGATTCACCTGTGGTCTTGATGTCGAGATGACCCATGAATCCACGCACTGTGTGGGTATAACCTCTGACAACGGCGTCTGAATATTTGGCTGCGATTTTGGCTTCCTCAATAGCCGAGGTATGAGCAAGCTCTCTCGTCAGGGCTTCCATCTTCGATGGATCTGTAGCTGCGGCCTCCGAGGCTTCTCTGAACTTGGCGTCCTTTCTCAATTCCCAATCCCTCCGCTCGTTGAGATAAGCTTGCATTAAAGACTCGGAGTACTCCATACGCGTCATAGCTCTTGGACGATCACGGTTAAGACTTTTGATATTGTTGATGGCTTGTTGTGCGATTTGTTTAGCCGACTCTTGGTCTACCAGTGCTGGTTCTCCGCTAGCTGGAGTTATCACCATGCCATTGGTGTCGGATAGTTCTTTGGCCGTTTGAGCGGAGATGCCGGGAAGACTCAGCCGAGTATCGACTGTGTATGCGGCGTTGCCAGCCTTTGTCGTCTTCATTAACCAGGCTCGCATCTTCTCACGTTGCTTCCTGACTTCTTTGTCCTCGAATGTTGGAATGAGACTGTTCAAAGCCTTTTCATAGTTCCGAGATAGTGTCTGACCATTTGGACCACCGACAATAGGAGCGACATCATAGAGAGCGTCAGTCAGAGCAAACTCGGCTTCGTTGACCACAACTGGCTTTTCCATGCGAGAGAAGTAGCCGTTCAATTTGTAAGCATAGGTCTGCTTATCGAGAAATCGTGTTGGAAACTGGAGTGCGAAGTATTGTGCTCCTGTCCGATTGTTAGCGTCGACGACGGAATGCGAGACTAGGAGCGCAACATACCTCCAGGGTTGTAAAGTTTGCTAAGCTGGTCATAAAGCTTCTTGATAAATGTATTGTCGCCTTCATCAGCGTTGCCAATGGTCGGACGCGGCGGGAGATCCGCATGTGCTCTCAGTGGGAGCTCATCATTAGCGACCCCATGCCCTACGTCATGAGCAATTTGGAGTTTCGCAGGCATTCCATTAGGCATGCCATTGACTCCAGTATTCAGATGTGCACTGCGAGTCCATTGCTCAATGATGAGTCTAGAATCCTGAGGATCAATTTCGCCAGACTCGGGGTCTTTGTTTGTGTAGAAGCTCTGAAGAACTCGAGCCTTAACATCCTTAGGAGCACCAATAACGTTGAGAGCCTTTTCGAAATTCCAGCCATCCTTGGCAGCTCTTGGATGCATCTCCTTGCCTAGATCGGTCAACTCTCTATCTTTGCATAGTGCATACAAGACTTACGAGGATACTGTAGGATTATGTAAGCTTTGTCGAGATCAGTTAGCTTCGTGTTGTATGGGATATCCTGGGCTAAACCAGTGATTTCTTTAGGCTGAGGATAGTGCATGATAGAGGAAGTATCGACCTGTGAAAAGTTCGATACTTCATTCATGGCGTAAACGTTGATGACTTGGTCATAGACTTGCTGAACAGACCATCCTTGAGTCTTGGTGTAGAGATTGATAGCTGCCTGTACATTGCGAATCGCTTGGCCACCATGAGCAGGCGATTGATGTTCGTGAAGAAGACCAAGTACATGTCCGAATTCGTGGAGGATTGTAGCTCTCTCGTTCGAAGTGATGGGCGAGAACCTGTCGAGCCATGCTAAATTCATGGTAGGTTCATTGGGGCCGATCTTTTCGCATTGTTTGCCAATGTATGCCCAACTTCCATCGTTCGGGTCGAACGTGATACGAATGTTGCTGTCCTGGATAGAAGCTGCCTCTTCAAAGGTGACATTGGCGTACCAAGTCCATTCATCAATGGCTTCGCGGACTTTGGATTTCTGCTTGGGCGTGCCTTCGATAAACCAGTAGGAAAGGACTTGCGGAGTACCATCCCAGATGAGGTCTTGATCAGAGAAGACGACGTGGAGCTTATCCCGACTAATTTCGGTAGAAATGCCTTTGTTAGCGAGAGCGCCTGTGGTATCTCCTGGGGTAAGTTTTCCTTTGGGGATTGGGACGACGACTTCTTTACAAGACCGCTTGAACCAGGAAGTGTCATCGCTTGATACAGAATTGGGAGCAGAGCCATTTGTGTCTGGAACAGCATAGGCTCCATTCCCTATGTATCGATTAGCAAACACAACGTGGTGTACAACTTCATCCAAGAGAACCATACCATTCCCAACAGCCTCTGGGTCTGCACCATTGACCGACTCCTCGGCGTGGTCTTCGTTGTCGTCGGTGAGCGCTACATCATCTTCGGTATGAGCAGGTGCAAGGTCTTGTCCATTCGCTTGTGTAGTCTGTGCTTGCCCAGAACCTTGATTACCTGATCTGGTATTGCCCTGTCCAGCGCCTGGATTGGTCCGGCGGGATTGAGCGGAACTGCGAGGAGCCGACATCCCTGAGGTAAAGCCTGGAGGAGCAAAGAGATCGCAGCGACAGGGTCTTGGTATCCGAGGAGGAGGAGGTCTTGATGTCCTGGCTGTTGCAGCTGGAGCTTCAGGACGTGCAGTCGAGCTTGGTAGTGGAGATGTTATAGAGTCTGATACTGATGCTGATGCCAATCTCATAGACTTGGTGAAGGCTTGAGAGTGAGGTCAAGCGGGCGGATTCGGCTCGATCTTTATATCATGAGGTCCTGCAATCCATAGGTCGTGCTCTCAAAGCATGGCCCTCATCGTCCAGGAGAGCGATAAACACTGATATCCTTTTCAGGGGCTCTAGCTCTACCATTCAGACCAAATTTGTCTTGTGGCTTCATTGTTGGCTTCAACGTGGCTGGCTAGACTTACAAGTCTTAGGCATCGCCGAGCGCTTATGAAGAGGCACTCTCTTCTAGATACCCATCCTAATTGCGCCTTTTCCACATTCGCAAAGCCAAGAGAAGCCTATTTATTGTGTAGCTAACCTGGTAGTGGCAATGTATGCGGAGCCACAGCAAAGATGGCGTGGGAGAAGCGAAGGACTGCTAGACAATTGCTCTCGCATAATGACTGATTGCAGGATCCACGTCCATAGATCACGAGCAAATCTACTGCTAATCCCTCCCTGAATAGTTTATCGCAGACAAATTCCTCACCGGGACTTCCGGAGAAACATTTGCGGCCAAGGCGCTTCCTACTTGTAGAGCGCCACTGCGCGGGGTTCGCTTATGGTTCGGCTGGCCACAGAAACGATAAAAGCCCGAGCCAGTTCTGGACTCGCGGTTCTGAGATTAGGAACCGATCAGACCATTTGTAGCTCGCCTTACCTTATTTGCGTTCCTGGTTACCCCTTTGGGATGAGCCGTCGGTGCTGCCGTTCGGGAGAATGTGGCTGGCTGCGGTGGCGGGTGTGACGCCAGCTGAGTTCAACCCGCCCTCAACCTCAATTGTAGTGGGACGGGCCGACGCGGCTAGATCACGTTATTTAAGCGACTTCTTAGCATCGCTGATTCGTCACGATTAGGTTATTGACGTTGGACTGGGCTGTGACCAAAGCCATGTTCGGTCGTGGTAAGCTGAGCGTCACCCATGTTTTGGGGATACCCGCCCTATAACGCGCCGTTTCTGTGGTATCAGCTGACAGTTCGTTTCTCCCACATTAGCTTCTCTTTATCTAGCTAAAATCCGTCCAATGAACCATTTCCTTGCAGCCAGATTTAATCACATTGCATGCGCGGTCTCTCTTCGGGCTGCCAAAGTCAGCACCTTGTGACCATTTAACGCACAACTTTCGTTATCCTTGTCCACACACCAGACGGAGGTGCATGAATTCGTACAGTTCGAGATCAGATTGGCTCGGTGAGAGCATGTCAGGTCGCCATGCTGCACGCGCATAGGGAAGTAACGGTAGGCCGAAGTACCAAACTAACGAAAAAGGTCTGCACTCAGTTGGCCATCTTCGTTTCTGTCAGAGCTTTAGTCGCTCAGGCGAACGCATTGCCGCATCGGCTAGTCTAGGATGTCCCGTGAGAGATGCACGACAGCATGTCCGCACTGTATAAATACTCCCCTCACAGCATCAGACTCCTTCATATGTTCGAGTGCAGTCGCATTACACTACTATATTCTATTATCAGCAATCTTCATATTCAAGCTTGTAGCACAGCCTTGTCCCGTATTATCCCCTCTTTCCGCCCTTACTACCATGGCATCCGCAAACTCGCGCCCGCTGCAAGTCGTGGTATATAACGAGCAAAAACGAAAGCAAGAAGCGGCAAAGGAAGCAACCGTCCAGAAACTGGACCTCCAGAAGGACGTGCAGGCATTTCTGGACAAAGACACAGGAATCTATCTCCTTCCTCGCACCTGGAATCGAGCTAGCATTGTCAAAGACTTCACTGAAGCCAGTAACTTCCCGTCCCTGGCCAAGACTGTGATCGGAGGAGCCATAAAGAAAATCAATGCCATCACTACCCCTGATGCATTTGGGGCCGCCTCCAATCTTCTGGAGAAGGTCGCTCATTATGCACAAGACGGAACGTACGAAATCATTGGCATGGCCGTTCAAAAAGAGCATGAGAGCAAGGCCGACGGCAACCTTGCACGAAGCCTAGGAAAGCAGTTCGTTCTCCTCAGCACCACTCTGGCTAAGGGTGCCATTGCAGGCCTTCCTGGGATCATAGCAAGCACCTTGTTTACGATCATCGTGTACCTACACGAGAAGGGAGAGGAAAAGCAGAAGAAATGGAATGCGGAGTTGGCAACGATTCTCGACCAGAAGCTGGAGAAAATACGCCAAGACGTGAACGATAAAATGGCTGCCAACTCCAGGAAGCGTGTTGAGCGCATGCTCATGTCAGGTTTCGCTACAGACGTGTTCGACAACACTGTTTATGGCTTCTACGAGTGGACCGATGAACGAGCGGTCGAATGGAGGAACAGCCATCTCATTCAAATGCGCGAGAATGTCCAAGCGAATATCGACATCTATATCACCCCTTCTGATCTGCTTTGGGCCGCGGGCATAGGGAAACTGCTTCCAGGAAACAAGCTCACTGAGAAACAAATTGATGACATGAACGAATATCTGAAGGAGCAAGTGTATGACAAGGTTGACTAGGAATCACACGCGATGGATAGAATCACTCACGGATAGGATCGCTGCAAATATTTTCATCTCAGTCATTAGTCAGAACGCGCTAGTAGAACAATGAACAGTGCAACAGTATTAGGAAATGTGAAAGTATGTATCACGTGCTTTGCCAAACCGCGCCCTGCTAGAGGAGCCTGTGTGGACACCACATAATGCCCTGTAGATCGATTCGACGAACGAAAAGATAGTAAGCATATAGCAAGCGTAACAGTGCGATAATGTAGGTTCGCTGACCCAATCACTGCTAACCAACATACGCATGGCTAGGTAGCGAGACTTGGCACAGCCGCACCCTTGTGTATGCATGGTGCGACATCGCTCGGCCTTCACCCAGCCTCATCAATCACGCGTGGAATCACGAGTTTCACTCTTTTCACTATCAAGTATATCTTATCCGAAGACGATCGTGGGTTGCGGTCCGTGAGATAGCCTAACTCGTTCTGGGTTGTGTATAGTCGGTTCGCGAACTGACCACTAACAGGCTGCACGGGAGCGTGATTTGCGCCTTCACCTAGCAATCTCCACTTCTATTTACGGTGTTGGAAGACTCCTCTTACGTTCCCCTAACAAACGTTTGCATACGCTGTTACAGTTCAACCAAGGGCTCGCTACATCGTCCTATAGCCGTGCGATATGGCCACGCCACCTTCTAATGTTTCAGGATCGCCATGTCCATGTCTTATATGCACCAGCGCGGGGATCGAACTTACCCTCGCAAGCATACCAAGCCCTTGGCCGAACAACAGTGATAAGAAGACGCGTTACGCACCCCCTCAACCTGATGCAGACACGTTCGCCACTCAGCAAGCCTTTTTGGACAACCTAATGCCTGTACCAATTGAGAGTGTCGACGAAGATAGCAAGAAGTGTCCCATATGTTGGAAACCCTATGGCGAGGCAGCCGACCCTGGTTTCGACAACTCAGAGCAGCCCGTCCGTCTCAAGTGCAGGCATACGTTCGGCAACAAGTGCATGCTCGCCACCTTTGCGGTTCCTGGGACTTCGATCATTACTCTTGAACCTCTTGCCTTCGGTCCAGGATCTAGAGGCTATCAGTTGGGTCAGCGATTGCACTCTTATTTGCGGGAGTCAAGGGCACTAGAGACAGATGACGATGCGGTGGCTTTCGCCGAGATGCTCCATACAAGACGAGAATCATTGACTGAACTCTTTGGGTAAAGCGGCTATCAAACATACGTATGAGACTATCAGCTGACTTCGTTACAGTACGTGTTTCTGCTTTGCTGCCTACATTCGATTGCATCAGGTAAATCAGTGGTGACGTCTGTCGCTCTGCTACCTATGTGAACCACGAAAACACTGTGCGCAAGATCGTCGCGCCCGTTGAGGAGCAAACCTACAGATGTCACCATTGCGCGTCGTCCTTGCATTCCAAATCTGTACTAACAGCCTTGTAGGTCGCCATTGGAGTTCTGTTTTCCAGGAGCTGCGCCACCGAACAGAAAAGATTTCAGAATGTCGGAAGATCATACTTCTCGAGAACGCGGTAGTACTGGATTCTGATCGTCATGATCATCGAGCTTTAAGAGCTCTCTATGAAGGTTCTGGCATTTGGAATAACTTGCCCACTGCACAACCACTCCCCAGCTACAACCTTCCGTTCTTGAATTCTGGTCCATACGCGTTCCACACTCCGGAAGGCTCGCCAGATTCGCAGGACAGTGTCTCGAAGTTGAAAAAAGACCATGAAGATAGGATAGCCAAGATGCTAAAGGCCGAGCGCGATCTGCAAGAGCGCAACGAGCGACACCTGGACAGCACGCTGGGTGCGGAGTTAAGCCGAGTCTATTCAGAGTACATGAAACACCACGGCACTAAGAAAGAGCCCGAACAGTCAGATACATACCGGGAGCAGTGCTTTGTAGATGCTCACATCTCGATACACAAAAAGAATCCGAGACAAGTATCTTTCAGAATCGGGTCATTGGATCAATTCTTGGCCCATAGCCAGGATGACGCTGCAAGTGACGACAGCGACGCAGAAGACGAAGATAGCGATCATGTCAGCGGCACACTTCTATCGAGGTTGTTCCCGATTATCAGCCGCAAGATGTGCGAGCACTGTTGCACCGAACACACAACTGTTCCTTCATCGATACCTGTTCCAACTTCGCTATGGTGGAAGGACTCGCGCAAGATCCCCGATGATTGTCCCATTTGCCACAAGGTATTGTTTCACAAAGCTCATCTCTTCCAGCCGTCGCGCAACTCAGATTGCGAGATTTCAGGTCCGGATGAGTACGTTGGCAAGATCGGAGATAAAAAGGTGATTTAGGCAAGTGATGTGCGGCTATTGCACTGGTTATCGGATGACGCTCAAGCTCGGTCAATCATGCTGATTCATTACAATTGCCGGGACATTGATGCAGGTAGGATTAGAGACAGGGTCTATTCATACCAAAAATAGAATTCTTGGATAAGATAATACATGTTTACCAAACGTAGCCTTTGGTCTGCTGAATCTTCTTAACATCGATGTTCTTCCACATGAACGGTCCGATCACCCCTACAATCGATATAACAGTACTAGCTATAAGAAGTCGAAGCATTGCATCTTCGTACGCGTGCTGGATAGCAAGGCGTGTCAGAGACTCCATAGGGTAAGACAGCTGAGTCGTTATGTCGCCGAAGATCTTGTTGAGGTTCGGTAGGTCTTCAGGAGGTAGATATCGCACAAGTCGATCCGGCACTATGTCAGACCATATGGATGCCGCAACTGTCATACCGATAGCACCACCGATATTCCCAAAGATACCCACGATTGCGAGCATCGCGGCGACATGTTCGTGCGAACCAGCAGCTAGAATAGCAATCTCGTCCGTGACAACAAGAACGCCCTGCGAGATTGAAATGAACAGGAAGCACATGATGATATATCCGATGTTACTGGATGTGCGAAAGTACATCATCGAAACCTGACCCAATAGACCTAGCGGAACACCAACGGCTAATGATATGGTCTTGAAATGGCCGGTTCGATGAATCATGTAGCCAGCTGAGACGGCGACTAGTACACTCACAACGGTGTATAGCTGCGCAACGTAACTTGCTTCCTCCACGCTGAGTCCCTGTACAACTTGCAGGTAAGAGCCGAAGTAGCTATTCCATACCACGTAACTTGCGAAAAGACAAGCGCATAGTAAGCATGCGCCAAAGACGGTTCCATCCAACAGTAGCCTGTAGGGAAGGCACCGGATAGATGCGAAAGACTTCTCCCATACAACGAATGCCGATAGAAGCAGGAAGCCGAGCAGGATCACGCCAACTATGAGCGGCGAAGACCAGGCTTTGCCTGTCAAAGCATACAAGTTGAACGGAAGAAGAAAAAGGGCGATTCCCGTAGAAGCGAGCACCAAGCCAACAGCATTGAACTCCCGACTATAGTATACCATCGACTCCCGGAGATCTCGCCCACACTTCTCTCCTCTCCTTTCGATAAGTCCCATTCTCTTCGCTTTTCGATAGTTCGCCACAAGCAAACCCAGCAGCGGCAGCGTGACAAGCGGAACAAGCGCGCCGAATGAACCAAATGCCCACCGCCATCCCATGCCACGAAGATATGCTTGCGCTAAAGGGCCAGCTACCCAGCCTGTAATCAGGCTAGTTGAGTTCATGAGCGCCTGTACCAGCGCTCTGTTCTCCAACTTCGTCGTATCGGCAATGAGAACAGACAGGATATATTGCACACCGTTGTTTCCTAGGGTATGAAAGACCATGGCCGCAGCATACGTGCCTATGCCGTCACACACCATCATCATAACCAGCCCGCTTGATCCTGTGATAAGACAGAATAGCAAGCCATGCGGTCGGCCAAAGATATCGATGATCTTAGCGATAGATAAGGTAATGACACCGCCGAGAATATTGCTTAATATGCTAACAGTGGGTGTGAAAGCGTGCATAGAGAAGGCTGATGTAACGTATGGAACTAAGGCTAATGTGATGCCGGCGAGCAATGTTTCGACAAAGTAGATGAGCCATATTATCATGTAGGCCGCTGTAAGAGAGGAATTTGACCATGCTTGTGTTGTCGCTTCCATCGCTTGAACGCCTGGGTGCGAGCTGACCGCTGGACACGCATGGTCTATCGGTGGACTTATTGGACTACACTCAGAGTGTATTTGGATAGTACAGCGGAGGTCTTCTGCATCGGTAGATGGGAACAGGGTTGGTGAAAGTAGAGGTTCTTGGATAGATGGACGAGAAGGACGCATAGCAGCAGATGGGGACAGGAAATAGCCGAGACGGTAAAGACGGTGGTAATTGTGCTGTCTCTTTCCGCCTTGTTTCCTACAGCGCCGTGAGGAACAATGTACGATTCAATCAAGATGAAGAGGATGTCAAGCGAGGGTCTCATGGCGGCTGACACCTGAATGATGAATCGACATCAGCTGAGCAAAGCGAAAACAAAAACAACACCTCACAGGATTGCGCTAGATTTTTGTCGAATGCTCGGCAAGCGTAAGAAAGGATCTGACATGTTATGGGACTAGTGTCGTATTAGAGAGCACTTTTGCGATGATTGTGGCTTGAGACCTTGCACCCTGCTAGTGCACAAATGTGGGGCAACTCAATGCAGGGCCGACGCGCATATGTAGGACGGCTCGTCCTGCACGTTACGCAACTGGATACTCTACCAATCGATGTTATCGTTCTGGGCACCCGTGCCAGCTGCCGCTTTAGTGTCGTGCAGTCCAGGATATCACATAGCCGCGTTATATTTAGGCATCAAGAGAAGAGAAGGTTACCACGGACGCGATACTCTAGGTAAAATCAGACGTGACCACAGCTAGTTTGGAGCTAACGGTTCGGGGAATAGTAAGATATATGGCATGGTTCTCAGATGGTGAATGTCACTTGGCTGCCTGGTCTGGTTGGTCGTCCTGCGAGATAGTAAGATCCACGCTGATGGAATGCGCTAGAGGGCGGCATATTTACTGAAATCTGGACTTCCCTGTAGCTGAAGTTTGGTCAGATTTTAAGTTTACAGTCTTTGTTTCTTCGCAGTTGAGAAAAACCAAACAACAACAGTCTAAAGATTATGAACAGTGGGCGCGAGCTTCCCGTGTTACGGTCACTAGGTACGAAGCATCTATGTAACAGACATACCTATCGCCAAAGCTTATGACCCTTAGGAAAATCCGAACAGCTTTCCGCTGTTTCTCACGAACTAGGGTTCTTCAAGAATGTGGGAATATCTGCTCACTACTCTCTCTCTATTGTTGCTACTCTACCCGATTTGCAATCAATCATCTACGCCGCATTGACACAAGTCATCCACAGGAACTCTATCCTATCCGCCGTCCCGATCGACGAAATATCTCCAAGCGCCTACTTCGTCCGTTTGCAGTCTCTCGATCTTCGTTCCTGTGTACTTTTCAAGACTCGAGCGAGCTCGATTGGACAGCGCAACCAAGACCCTGAGCTCGACACAATTCTCCAGGAGGAACACAATACTGACTTCAAGCCTTCCCATGGTTCCCTGCCTTTCTGGCGACTTACCATCCTGCAAGACATTGGTGAAGAGAAGGGGCGTGGTTTCACCGCATCCTTTGTCTTCCATCATAGCCTCGGCGATGGCGCAACAGGAGTCATCTTCCACCAGTCATTCCACCAGGCACTTGAGAGTGTTCTCATGCTACCGTCCTTGAAATCAAGCAGCCCGAAAATACAGGTGTCTGAGAGTTCGACTGTTCTGCCACCACTAGAAGATTTGCATCCGTTGCCGTTGAACCCGAACCCACTTCATCACCGCACATCGGGCGAGAAGCTGGAGGAATGGACAGGAAGTCCCATCCAACTACCGATGGTGTCGCAATACCGGACACTGTTCTTTTCACCAATAGCTTCAGCTAAATTTGCGCAAGAGTGTAAAGAGAATGGTCTCACAGTGACGTCCGGCTCAACCGCGGTATTGGCCAGTGCGTTGTTCGAGCAGCTTCCAGATACTGTCCACGCACTCACAGGTATTATACCGATCAACCTTCGTCCATGGCTTAGCCTCCATGACAACTGCACCTCCACGAACGAAGCGATGGGCAGTTTCATAGACGCATTGAAAGTACAGATCCGTCGCGAGCATTGCTCCTTTCCCACCGACAGCGTTGGACACACGGGAGCTACATGCGGACTCGCGGCCGCGCGTCATACAGCAGAAACAATAAAAGAATACATGGGTAACAAGAGTCCGAGTGGTGAGCCATATACTTCAGTCGCTGCGTTCAAGGGTATACACGACATAGCTGCGGCCTTCAAGTCTATGGTTAACGCGCCCCGCGATGCGGCCTTTGAGATCTCGAACCTTGGCCGCTTCCCACCGCCGTCTTCCCCGTCATATGACGTCCCTGATGGTGCTTGTGAAGGTCGGTGCCGTATCGGACGCATGACCTTCAGTCGTAGTGCTGTTGGCTTCGGCGCTGCGATCACAACGAGTGTTATGATGGGAAATGATGGAGGGTTGAGCGTGGGGTGGAGTTGGCAAGAGGGTGTGGTGAAACGAAAGCTTGTGGAGAGTGTTATGGAGGGCTTTAGGAAAGGCGTTGAGGGTGGCGTTCATCTCTAAGGTAAAGTAGTAGTATCGATTGACAGCTTGAAACGTGGGAGAGCAATGGAACGTGGGCACGTTCGACTCAGGAACGGTTTGGAAGAACCCGTCACCTACCCACTGAGTAGCACCTCCCACAACACGAGATCGCGTAATGCGCAAGTCGAGACGACGTCTCCATGCCGGCCTTCGGTCATTCGTTCGCCGCATGATCAATGCCCTGCGCCAATCTGCTTTTGTTTCAGGCGCGACGCCCAGTAATTCTCGCGTACACTATAAATTCGCTCAATCTGACGCAATTGAGTTGTACATGTACAGCGGGTACACTAAGATAATTGATCTTGGCGTGAGATAGGCCTGAAAAGATACATGGGCATTGGTAGCCTACATGCGCATGCGCGGAGACGAGCGTACAAGAGCACAAATACAGACTAGGCAGCCTGATCCGCGCAGAAGACTGCGGCAATTGTCGCGCATCGGGTTAGTCGCCCAACACCGCCAATGCTATTATCTCGCCGACTCGAAAATCTGACATCTGATCATGAGTGCTAGGAGAAACGATGTACAAATGAGAGATGCTTACGATAGCTCACCAGGGTATCGATGTGATCATGACGCAAGATCAAAATTTGGGGCGTGCACCTCCTCTTACTTCGCACAGAATCCTACTTGCAATATTGCACGGCCATGTTAAGCAAGCGGACTCTCGTTATATGCAGGGAAGCTGAAAAAGCGCTTTGTCGTCGTACAGCAGTAAGTCTGACACATGTTGGCACCATGTATCCTGCAATCTATAGCCACAATGTGCCGGAAAATCGGATGTATATGGTTTGCAAAGGCTGACCTATGCTACGAAGCTGCGATGGCATGATGGAATGTATAAACATCAGTAACCATTGATCCCTTTTGCGAGGGGAAGCTCGTCACGAGGAATGCGCAGAACAGAGCAACACAGTGCCTCTTCTGCCAACCCAGTTGATACAGTCCCATTGAATAACTTGGAGCTATCGTATATGATTAAAAAGCGAAGTTCGGTGATTATGAATGGATGAAACATAGGTGACCCGTCAGATCAGCCTTCACACACAGCATGACACCAACACAGCAGGTCATGCCGTGCCCCCATTGGCCTTCACAGTTACCAGCATCCTGCTCAACCAACTCCTTTTCGCCGCAATTGCAGCTCCAACAACAGGCACCCCAGGATTCTCAACAGCATCGAACAAATGTGTTCCACCTGGCCAAACATGTAACTCGCATGAGCTCCCGCACCGCCACATATCCAGGGCATATGCGACAGCTGGATCACGGAAGACCTCGCATTCAGCCGCGTCGATGTAAGCTTGAGGTAAGTTGCTCAGATCCGTAGCTCGGGAGGGTGCTTGGTACATGGTGACTGTATTGGTGCCGCGCTGACCTGCAAGAGCGTGGTTCCAGGCCGCGCGATTTGTGATGCCGTTCCATGGCACGCCGTATTCGAATTGTGCGTCCGAGACGCTGTTGCATCGATCATCCAGCATAGGCGAGAGTAACATCTGCGCCTTGATAGGCACAATAGGCACCTTTCTGTCGCGGGCTAAGAGGCAGGCAGATGCAGCGAGGGGGGCACCCCCGGAGGACCCGCAGACGATTATAGCTGCAGGATCGATGCCTAAGCTCGTGGCGTTTATAGAGAGCCAGGCGAGTGCTTCGTAGCAGTCTTCAGCTCCTCCTGGTGCGGGCGTCTCGGGCGCAAGCCGGTATTCGACCGAGGCGATGATGCACGGTATGTCTTGGACGACATCAATTAGTTGTGCGACGGCGCTGAAGCGATCGCCTGAGATCATACCGCCTCCATGGATGTAGAACAAGACTGGTAGCGCGTTAGACGAAGTCTGCGGCGCGAAGATGGATAAGGCAATGCCGTGACCACCAGGGCTAGTGATGACATGGTGAGTATGCGTCAGGTGCGGATTCGCGGTCAGAATTGGCTCTAGGCTTCCTCCGACATCGAAACTACGAAGAAAGGAGATATCTAACTCTTCTGGTAGGATGATTGAGTCGATGATGGGTGCTAGCTTAGGGTCGATAGGTGGTCTGGGGATTGTAATGCGCGGGTCTAGCCCGGCGGCCTGGGAGTACGGGTACGGGTAGGCGGAAGAATCGGACATGATGGCCAGCGAAGGTTCATTAGCGAGACACATTTAGACATGGCTTTGCTTGCGTAAATGTACTGGACGTTTGCGGCGATTGTTGAGGTGTTGTGCTGACAGTAAGCATGAGTCGCGGGTAGAGTTCTCTAACCGAGGTGAGGTCAAGGGTGCCAACGGCCCGCTCCACATCACACGGCGTACCAGCCGGCAGGGCATATTATCCGCCGCTGCGGGCGTCGTTCCGACGCAACGTCAGCGTCCCACGCACCAGGCTCTCACTACATGCAATGCAGTCCCTCCCACGCGTTCTTTGAAAGTCAGCGTTTTGTTCCACATCAGGCGCCCTGCCGTGTCAATCCCCTCCTTGGATAAGCGCGTTCTTCGATGAGCATGTTTGCAAATGAGCACGTTTTCCATGAGCACGTTTCGATCAGCAACTGCCCTTACTGGTAAAGTCTAGCAACGGATTTTGCGGCTTGGAGCATTGTAACCGTACAAACGTCCTCGTCCTTAACCTTATTCGGAGACATACTCCGTGACCAAGAAATAGCCACCATCATAGAGATCCCGGTTGCGCCTGATCTTGAGCTCGAGTGGGGACAATTCATGGTATGGATCATTCCAGCATCGAGGCTGTGGCGGTAGCAAAGAACAATCGCATGGGAGCTTAGCACGAAGATTGGCACGCAGTCTGGATGTTGTCGGCATAGGATGATCTGATTATAAGAGGTCCAAATACCATAGTCGGCTCTGCTCCTCCCACACTGCTACAATGCTTACCTGCTGTGCTTGGCCCCGAAACGTTCCTTGAAATAAGTCATTGTCGGCATACATGCGTGACATCGAGGTGCGGCCGGAGGCGGAATATCACGACATCGCATAAGCACTGAAGTATTGCTTGGTATGTCCTTCTTCGGCCAATCAGCCTCCCAGGGGCGAGCGGCTATTTGCCTTTGTTGGCTCTGCCCAGCTAAGGGCCACGAGCAGAGCCATGGGGTTGCGAGTTTGACTGAACGAACTTCTTTGGTGACGATACGGATACTGAAGTACGTCAATGACGGGAAAGGTCGACTTCTTTTTGAATTCGTCAGCATCTGGACAACGTGGCTTTTCACGCAGATAGATGTGGGAGTCACGTTGAACATTCCGTCGCTTACGAGGCACTGCTCGAACTCGCAGCATCTGTTGTTGACCACAATCAAGGAATGAGCATGGTCGCGTATACAGCGAAGTATGTGGCTGCGCAAGCGCGACGGGGAGATGTCTTGGCTATGGAACACGACATGTAGGTTGCACAGTGGCGCGAACTCTCGCTATCATATGACCCTTGGCCCGTGTTGGTTCCAACTTAGCCTCTGCTTAGTGTCCGTCACAGCTCGACCTCACTCATTTTACATTCTAGTCTCCGCTCGCACATGGAACGTCGCGTGGATCACGGCACTTTTCAGACACACTACCTTGAAGCGGGGTGGCTTGGCTGATACGCAATGATTGCTAATTGTAAAGTCCCTGATCCCAGCTGAGCTCGCAAGCTTCAACCGCGTCAGTGGAACAGTTGCCTTCTAAGAGCTAAGCGGGCTGCCGCTGCCATGACTCGTACTGAGCGCTGACTGTATGTTGCCTGGAATGAGGCAACTCCGTAAAAGTTGTCTCGCCTCGAACAACCTCATATTACCTCAGAGGCTCAGTCACCCCTGCAATCTCGATTCTCGGCCTCTATTCGAGTACTGTCCCTCGTATTACAGTCATTCCGTGATTCTAGTCAGCGGTCGCTTGACCTAATCACCCGTGTGGCGCTCGAATCTCACCTGCTTAACTGACCGTGTCTGAGCCATCTAGATTCCAGCAGCTTTATAGGGTTGACTTCTGGACGTGAGCAAAGTTTCACTGATCATTCCGACGTTGAAACCACTCCTATGTCTCACCAGCCATGGATGACATGACGATGCGTCTTGACGGCTTGACTAGCAATAGCCCTGCTGGACTTGGAATTACGCTGCCATGCGATAATTCGGCGGTCGCCAGCGTCACTTCCGGTATGGAAAACATATCGACCAAAATTCTCGAAATCATATATGAACATGCTCTCAACAAGTTCGATGATTCGAAAGAGCGCCTAGCTGCCGGGACGGTGAAATTTCTTACCGTGATCGACCGATTCGTCCAAGCAGGCGAACGTGTCGAGACATGTTTGCCAGCCTTTCCTTTCAAGTCGGCCAACAAAGTTTACAAAGTGCTCGGATCCCTACCAGACAAGGCGGAAGAACTAGCGCTCCAACGGCTGAACCACATGTGCGCAAGGATAAAGGATGTTTACAAGCCAGGAGCGAGAGTTACTATCATCTCAGATGGCATAACCTACAACGGTGCGTAAATTCACTGTCAATAGTCATGACCTAGACTAACGGATATTAGATCTTCTCTCGATATCAGATCGTGAGACATGGGCTTATGGCGAGTCTCTGCGTCGAATGGCGACGGAAAAGAAATTCACATATATTGCCTTTTCCCGACTGAAAGACATACTCGATTTTCCAGGCCTACCAGACGAGCTGCGAGAGATAACATATGTCGCCAATTGCACGAACTTCAGACGCCTGCTTCTCAACAGATACGGGAGACCTGATATCGATATCGACAAGGAAATCAGAGAGAATGCAGACACGAGATTGACTTATCTCGGCTACCGGAAGTTTCTTGAGTCTGATCTGAAGCACATATTCGCGCTCGGAGAGAACCGCGGCAGTAATCAGTACAAGAGAGACGTCAAGTATCTCGCGAAACAGATGCTATACAGAGGATACGTAAGTTCTCCGACGATTCATCGGCCCAGCGGCATTACCTTCCTGTAGACTGACACTATAGACAGGCATATGCTGGAGCTGTTAAAGAAGCATATCCTTATCACCTTAGACTCTCGATACACGAATCGATTGGCGATCATAAGATATCGATTAGTTTGCTGGACACGAAAACAGGTTACACAACACCATGGCATTGCAGTGTAGCCTTGCTGACCAACGGAGACTGGGTGAGCGCACCTGCGGGTGAGTTCCGAAAGGACTCACGGCTCGAGCTCATTCACGAGAACGGACGGCCCAGCCACTTCAAAGAACAAAGACTGCAGGGATCTGATATACCATGGATCAATGAGGCAAACGCCAGCTATCTACAAGCTCGGACGCCCTTCAATGGTACACGAAGTGGCTATTCCTCGCCCAGTGCGACGTCCATTGTCAGCGGCATGTCTACGCCACCGACATCCTTTGGGACATCTCCCCCACATTTATCACTCTCTCCACCGCACTCTTCTCCCGATACCAAGCTTCCAGAGACGCTACAAATGAATGGCATCGGAAGTGAGCCAGCCTATGGTCACCGGCTCATACCCCAGATCATGGACCAACTCGCCAGAAATCAACCTGACAAAATTGTTTTTTCAATTGCCAAACCTTCAGATTCAGGCCTTGAGCTTCGGGACATCTCAGCGCATGCTTTTGCGAAAGCAGTAGACAAGACAGCATGGTGGCTTCGTGACCAGGTCGGCGAGTCGCCATCTGTGCGACCTGTGGGCTACATCGGCCCTCACGACCTCCGGCACATCCTGATCACCTATGCCTGTGTGAAGGTTGGCTACGCTGCGCTCTATCTTTCGCCCAAGAACAGCACAGAGGGGGCTTTATCTGTGCTAGAAGCAACAGAGTGTGATATCTGGGCTAAAGCACGTGAAGTGGAAGCAGCTCCTCTTGTGAAGGACGTTCTAGAGAAACGCCCGATGAAGTTACTCGAGCTACCATTACTTGACGAACTTCTGGATGCGGGCGATGTCGAATACTACCCTTACATCAAGGCTTTTGCCGCAGCTGCTACAGAACCCTTCTGTTATCTTCACACGTCCGGTTCGACGGGGTCACCAAAACCGATCCCGTGGTCTCACGGATTGATCGGGACGATGGATGCAATACGCTTACTTCCACACGTTGATGGCGACGATGGCTTAGTGCCGTGGACGTCGGACTGGAGAGAGGGAGACCGAATCTACTCCTCTTTTCCCATGTGCCACGGCGCTGGGATCATCATGGATATACTCTTGCCAGCTCTTTTCGGTCTAACCTGCGTATTAGGTCCTGAGAGCACTATTCCCAACATCTCACTCCTAGAAACTCTTGCCGATCATGCCAAGATCGACATCTGGAGCATGGTACCATCGCTTGTCGATGAGCTAGGAGAGACGCCTGATGTTTTGGCCAAATTCCAGTCTTCTAAGTTTATCTGCGCATCAGGTGGGCCGGTAAGCCCTGTTAGCGCTGGCAAAGTCAATCACATCATCAGAGTACTCAATTTGACCGGGACGACAGAAGGTCTTTTCATCGGCAATCTCGTCGTGGAGCGAGAGGATTGGTTCTGGTTCGCTTTCCATCCTTACTCCGGCTTCGAGTTCAAGGAAGTGGAGCCAGGTATCTATGAGCATTGGGTCAATCGAAACGAACATGCCTCCCTGTTTCAAGGCATCTTCCATACATTTCCAGACAAGGACTCCATCAACTTCAAGGACCTGTATAAGCGGCATCCAACCAAGCCCAATCTCTGGGCTTTTACCGGTCGTAACGACGATCTTATTGTTCTTTCTAGTGGATATAAGATCCTGCCTCTGGAGTTTGAAGCATCTGTCAGTACTCATCCCGCGATTGACGGATGTCTCGTCATAGGTAGCAACAAGCTGCAGGCTGGTCTTCTCATCGAGTTGAAGAACCAAGTAGCCAAGACGGACGACATAATGGAGAGTATATGGACTAAGATTGAGGAAAGCATCCTATGCTCACGACAAAACGTACGTCTATCCCGTGACTATGTCTGCTTTGCACAGCCAGACAAACCCTTCGTTCGGACAGACAAAGGGACGGTCAAGCGACGAGCTACTTTACTCCTTTATGAAGACTACATCGAAAGGTTCTACAGCGCTCGCAGTACTGAGACTTCTTTCGTTGTCGATATTAGCTCTGCATCGACAATGCAGAGATCAGTGCGTGGAATTCTCGCTTCATCACTCCCACCGATCCAATCTGCTTCTCCAGATGATGACCTATTCGAACTCGGCCTCGATTCATTAGGGGTATCGGCCGCTATCAATGCCATCCGAGCAGCGGTCAAGTGTCTAGACAAACTCGCCCCTCGCCATCTCTACGCAAGTCCCACTTTGGCCAGCTTCACCACTGCTCTCCATCTAATGGTCGTTCAAGCGCAAGATGCTGGTAACACAAAGCCTAGTGCCAATGATCGAGAAGGGAACATGCAGCGCATGATTGCGCAGCGAAGAGTATGGCAGTCTTTTCAATTAAACCCTTTCGACTATGTCAACCCGAACCATTACATGGGGCTGGTATTTTACTTTCCCCTTCGAGAAGGCATTACATTCGAAGAGGCATTCGCAAACATGCAAGCAGGACTTAATCGAACATTTGAACTCATACCAGCATTAGGCGGCAAGATGATGACATGCTCCAGAGACGAGATCGGATACACCAAAGGCGATCTCTGCGTGTCTGTACCACCCTTCGGCCAACCAGCTCGCGATCGTTTAGTCTACAAGGACCTATCCGATGTGCTTCCGGCATTCGAGAACCTGCGAAGCGATGGATTTGTGCCATCAGCCTTTAAAGACGAGCTGGTTCTGCGACAAGACACTTTCCCGCAGCTTCCCGCGGATATACTCGTTGCGCAGGTCAACTTTGTCAAAGGTGGATGCATCCTTGCTGTCGATCTAAACCATTGCTGTTTGGACGGTGTGGGGGCTATTATCGCGATAAAAGCATGGGCTGAGAATTGCAGGTATCTGCAAGGCGACACGTCAGCAACTTGTTCATGGTACGACACAGAGAGCTTCAATCACAGCCTTCCAGAGGTTCTGCATGAGCTGGAGGGATACGCGCGTCCAGCAGAAGAGGTTGATCTCGATGTTTGGGGCATGCTACCCTTCATCCCGTCAGCTGATATTCTCGAAAGGCATGCTTCAAAACGATCCGAACCTCTGGGCCGGCCACTAAGCTACCCGCTGCACTCAGTATGGCCGTTGCCCTGTGCAGAGCGGAAGATGGACACTACTCTATTCCTGATCCCATCTGAGAAGGTCGAAGTACTCAAAACGAACGTCATGCGCGATCCTGAAGCCAGTGGGGCCATCATATCGATCAGCGACATCATCCAAGCCTTCTTTTGGCGTTCAGCCCTACGTGCACGATATGCCGTAGCCAAAGCTGCTGGCCGAGAGTTCAAACCTGACGACCACTCTATCCTCGAGTTGCCAACAGACGGGCGCCCTTACTTCTCGTCACTCCTACCTACATCATACATGGGCAGCTTACTCACCCTGAACCGGACAAGCATGTCGTTAGAAGAACTCTGCGCCCCAACCACGAGTATCGCACACATAGCACAAGTACTTCGCACATCTGCTGCACGCATGACACCAGGGCTTGTTCACGATGCATTCACACTCCTCCAATCACTTCCCGACCACTCACGCTTCTCGACCGCGAACATGGGTCTTGACCACATGCATGCCATGATCTCAAACATGATATTGTTTGAGATGAAAGAGATCAATTTTGGCAGCACCTACTTTGGTAATGAGGGAAGTCCAGAGAGTATGAGGCCGCAGCTAGAGCGCGGAAATGGGAGGTTTAGATTTCTGGTTGTGTTTCCGCTAAAGAGCGATGGGAGTGTGGAATTAGTCATGGGGACCTTTCCAGAGGAGAGGGAGATGCTGGCGGCGGATCATGAGTTTACAAAGTATGCACAGTTAGTTGATGTGGCGGGTTATTGAGGGATCATGGTTAAGCCGCCTTGGTAAGGTGTTAGCTGTAGTCTGAGTATCTTCCAGGTGCAAATTGGGAATATTCAATTGTTCGTACAAAATTGATCGTGACACATCCGTCGTCGAATCGTGAACTCGACAATGGAGTCGCAAATTATCACTAACAGTGCGAAGCTGCGACAGCGCCATGAAAGACCTCACGACTGATCTATGGGTCGGTAACACCAGATGGGTTTGACAATGGCTTTGTCCCCAAAGATGAGCGGCTACAAGGAACAAAGTCTGGAAACAAGCGAAGCTTATCCGATGTTCGTTTATAATGATGAGACCTGAGAAGGAGAATTGGAGAAGATAAAACTGGTGGGAGAGGATATCAAGCCGAGAAGTTGGCTCAAGTCAATGGTACTGGAGATCAATACATAGCACTATGTCGATGTATCGTTCACCCAGCACGTAGCACAAGTCACATAAGTTCATGACAATACTTAACCCTCAATCACAGGATAAACCGCCACCGCATGGAAGATCACGCTTTGCCCGATGAGCTCTAGCGCATATATCCCTGCTTCCGCGGCTTCGGAACGTCATCGCCCATCACCAAATTTCGGGTTCTGCAGGCCAACAGCGCACGCGATCGATACAGAAGGACTATTACAACGACTCAAGTCAAACTTGAGACCCTGCAACCGCTCCCGCCGAAGAAGTCGTCCACGCACGTTGAGAACCGTTTCCGAGGCAGCATGGCGACCCACGAGCAATACATATTGCACGTAACAGCAGGCGCAACATACGACACCTCAAAACACCAAGATGTACTTGTAAACAGCGAGAAGCCGGTGGACGTCTCCTCCGATCTCATCGACGCGAAAATACATATGCGCATTAAAGACTACCGCGGTACGTTGCGCGCTCTGGCCTGCCCCCACCCACCGATGGTGGAGGTTTTGCCTGCCTCCCTTCTGAGCCGACCGGCAACCTACTCCCCCTTCCCCTCCCATTACCATGCGCTGCCACTAACAACACCTACTCAGGCTTACCTGAAGGCTCCCCCAAAACATCTCCTTACTTCTCGACCCCCCAACATCCTTACGACCGCTACTCGATCTCCTTCTCCTTCACCCCCAAACAAGACATCGCAGGCGACAAACTCGTCTTCGGAAACGACTTTGACCACCCCATACGCGATCGCCTACCCCCTTTGTTTGACAAGGCGTTTGGAATAGTCAAGTGGTGGATCGACCCAGGTCTCGATGGCGATGTATACGCCGACGAGCCGTACCTATACGGCGCGCTGCTATCTTCGATAAATGTGCTCAGGATTGGCAGCAAGGCAGACGGAGAGAAGCCTAGTGGGGACGACCTAGAGGGCGAAGCGCAGACACAGGGGGATGTTGAAGTGCCTGGATCAGATGGCGAAGCTATCGTCTACGAAGAGGGTGCAGACGGGGACGGAGTCGAAGTCAGGAAAGAAAAGCGGGTACCGGATAAATCTGGAGCGAGGCAAAAGTTCTTCCTTACGGAGCAAAATCGAAAGGATTTTGTGTTCGAGGCGGGGAGGGAATACAAGTGCGACTTCTTCAATCCATACCTTGACTTCAATGAGTTTGCGCTGAAGATTGGGTATGGGTTGCCTAATATCAGTATGATTGGGCATTGGGATGGACAGCCCCTGCGGTACGTTGTGACATTCTTTGTTCCTTGCCCTCTTAATTTGCTGAGCATCCCACCGCTACTTACACATGCACCTTTCTTTGGACCGTGGGATATGGAGCTGACTTGATCAATTATACTAATCAGATCGCACACACTTAGATATGTGCTCAAGAATCGGGAAACCAACCAAGAGCTCTTTGTTGTAGTGATCGAGCTGCTGCCTACTGAGCAGGCGAGGAAAGAAGGTGCGGAGGATCCCAAGGAGAAGTTTGAGCAAGTACATGGAAGTGAGAAGAAGGAAGAGAAGAATGAGGATTTGGATTAGGACAAGGTGGGTTGTTAGTTGAAGGACGGAGTTAGGGTTAGTGGTTCGGGAAACGGAATGGGATGGTGCGCGGCATCGATACGGATGATTTCCAGGGTAAGGAGTAACAAGATCGGCATTGGCGTGACGATAGATCAGCAAGTGTAGTAGTAGACTTAGTCATATGATATTTACCATGACTGTCGGTTGTCGTTGGTCCCCGTGGGGTACAGACTGTTGGCATTCCGCGGCAGAGGAAGCTCGGGCCTCCGAACTTCGGCGTAAGCTGCGGCAACACCAAAAATTCCAGGGCGGAGCAACCCGCACCGCACCACAGCTTCAACATGGCCGCACGCACTCTGAGGATAGGTAAGGCAGTCAATTGCATGATGACGGCACAAGAGTATCTGAGGTCGTCGACTAATGCCCCTTAGGCCTCATCCCAGGCGACGGCATCGGCCGCGAAGTAATCCCCGCGGGCCGCCGCATCCTCGAAGCCCTGCCTTCTTCGTTCGGCCTCAAGTTCTCCTTCTCGCACCACGAGGCTGGCTGGGAAACGTTTCAGAAGACGGGCGCCGCCCTGCCCGACAAGACGGTTGAGGCGCTCAAGTCCGACTGCGATGGCGCCCTCTTCGGAGCCGTCAGCTCGCCCACTGTGCAAACCAAAGGCTACTCCAGCCCGATCGTCGCACTGAGAAAGCGCATGGGCCTGTACGCCAACGTCCGTCCTGTGAAGAGTGTGAGGGGCGCAGCGAGGAGTGTAGACCTGGTGATTGTGAGGGAGAACACCGAGGATCTTTACGTCAAAGAAGAAAAGACGTACGCGGCGCCCGACGGCTCCAAGATTGCAGAGGCAATCAAGCGCATCTCGGAAACAGCATCCTTCAACATTAGTGCCATGGCCGGCGACATCGCGCTCCGCCGCCAGCGCGTCCGCGATGCGGGTGCAAGCTCCATTCACAACTCGCCGCTCGTAACCATCACACACAAGTCCAACGTGCTTTCGCAGACCGACGGCCTCTTCCGCGAGACAGCCCGCCGCGCACTCCAAGACGCCAAGTACGGTCTCGTCGGCGTAGAAGAGCAAATCGTAGACTCCATGGTGTACAAGCTCTTCCGCCAGCCTCAGGACTACGACGTCATCGTCGCGCCCAACCTATACGGTGACATTCTCTCCGACGGCGCGGCGGCTCTCGTTGGCTCCCTTGGCCTGGTTCCTTCTGCGAACGTTGGCAAGGACTTCGTCATCGGAGAGCCATGCCACGGTTCCGCACCAGATATCGAGGGCCAGGGCATCGCGAACCCTATTGCGACGATCCGGTCTACGGCGTTGATGCTGGAGTTCATCGGTGAGGAAGAGGCGGCGGCGGCTGTGTACAAGGCAGTGGACGCCAACCTCGAGGAGGCAAAGCTATTGAGCCCGGATATGGGTGGCAAAGCCAAGACGGAGGAGATTATTGAGGATATCTGCAAGAGGTTGTAGACATGTGATTGTCGAAAGTTGATCTAGCCTGCTCGCGGGTGCTGTTCGGGTGTCCTGAGACTGGTCCAGAATGACGATTCACAAATTTCATGCGCCTACATACCGACCAGATGAGATATGTGATGTACGATTAGACGAATACTCCATAGACTCTACCCAGTTCCACCAATTTCGTCATTCCAATTCATAACCTTGGTCCGCTGTGAATCATATCCTAGTAAGAGCCTCGACATCGACTCGTTGATAGAAAGAAACATGCCCAAAAGTTTCCCAATACTGCGCCAACCGGTCATGCGAGATGAGGATGAGTTGACTCGTCATATAATTGTCTAGATGAAATGAGCAAATCGCGTTCTAGTACAATCACAATGAATACACGGAAACGTACCGTTCCTGAAGCCTGTAGCAGCGATATGCCCAACACTTCTCACAATCCTCGCGCCCTTGAAGATCTCTTCTTTGGCGACGCGGATCAATCCATTAGGTCCAATATCAGGTGCTATAAAGGTGAATTCTCCGCGTGGAATATTTGGATCGCCCGTCAGCTTGACCGCCTCGATGCGACCACGATATACGTCCGGGTCTTCTTCTTGTCCAGTGCTAGCGGTATGTTCCGGTCCACTACTCTGACTGACGTGAAACGCTTCCTGCAACGTAGCAACGCTGTCTTCCAGGTCATCTGCAGTCTCCATTGCCGCGACACTGCCCTCGCCATCCTCGGACGCAACATCTGTAGGCGCGGTGGTCCAACTCCCTTCACTAGACACACTGCCCTCTCTTTCCCTCGCCCTCATTGCCCACAAGGCCCGTTCAGGCAGCGGCTTTGCATCCGCCTCATCCGGCTGCATGATGACGAGAAACTCGCAGCCATGGCCCGCATAATCACCGCACCAAATGCCCTGCCACGGTTTCTGCTTGGTCGGCGTGTAGCATTCTTCAGGTAGCGTGGCCCACGTCGTTACGTCCTCGCCAATGCGCATACCCAGGCCGAGTGCGCGTGTGGAGAACTCCATCCACCGACGGATGCGAAATGTGGATGTGGACAGCTGGGTCAAGGTAGCGGGTTTCTGGCCTGGTTGGCGGAAACCGGATGGGGAAGTGTCGTTGCGTGTGCGGTCGTGACTGGGCAAAGCGAGAGGTGGCCATACGGGTGTTGCATCGCCCGTGATGGCTTGGGGCCAGGGGCGCGTGAGCATGAGTTGCGAGAACAGACTCGCGGCTTGCTGTTGCCGGTCGCGGTAGAGGCTCATTCGAATTTCTTTCTGGAGACGATAGCCGATGGGTCCAATGGCTTCTTCGTAGGCATCTTTGTTTAGTCGGACAATAGGCGCATTGAGATCGAGGCGTATCTTTGGGTTAAAGGTGTGGATTATGGCTTCCGGGTGCTGCTCCCAAGATAGTGCTGACGGAACGCCGCGTTCGGCTACAAGAGCGTAAGCTTCGATTGCGTCGAGGCGGTGGTCGTAGCGTGCGATGAGGAGCTTGCCCGTGTGCGCGGTGTCGGCGAACCAGATCTTTCGCCGGGCGATGAACCAGTATGGGTGGTGTTGCTGGAAGAGGTCGCGCCATGTCAAGTGTGCGGGTTTGGTAATGGTGGGGACTTCTGCTTGTACAAATGTTTGCCAAAGTACATCCTGGAGTGTGTGCTGGCGCAAGGATTTGCTGACCATGCCCACTGTAAGAAGATCGGAGAGATGGAGGTAGCGGAGTACATCATGGAGTAATTCCGAAGGCAGGTTCAGCAACGGCGGGATGGTTGTCTGTGATGTTCCACTTGGGGTTTCAGGAGATCGTCTCTCCATTTGGTTGCGCCTTTATGAGTCGAGCTCGTTATGAGTGTTTACAGTCAGTCCCTGTTTGGGGAATGGATCGTCTATCCAAGTATGCGATCCAAGTGGCAAAAAGCTTATGTCGCCTTCTTTCTGGCACAGGCGCGTATTGAATGCAAGCCGCTGCAACAAGGCAAAGAATCCAAATCTATCACGGCTGAGTTTCTAGCTCTTTTGTCGCGTCTCCAGGGTGTCTGCTGTTCAAGCGCCTCTTTTCTCGGCAACGTCCCGTGGTGACACCTTCCCACCTTCGCCTAGTCGCAATAAGTCCGGGGTAGATTGGCGTGATCAAGCAACGAATACGAAAGCCATGTACGATGGAGTGCTAAGTCGCGTATCTTGGGTTCGTCAAGTACCTGCTGTTTTAGGTGGTTGGTGAACTTGCGTGCTAATGGCGATGTTGCGATATCGGATGATGTGTTGCAAGGGTGAGGAGGCGACTTTAAACGTAGATGCGCGCGGACCGTCTGTGGCTGTCGAATGAGGATAGTGTTGCAGAAAGCGGCTGCAGATGGCGGAGAGAATCAATGAAGATTTGGGTACGATGGATACATGGAGTTGTTGCGCTACGTGATGCATGGCAAACACAATGTCGTGGTACGTCACCATCAGTCCGTGCGCTGCGGCGGGTGGCTTTTGTGGGGTCTGTGGAACCTCACTTCTTCGATCCTCATCAGTCCACCTTTATAGATCCTGCGAATGTCAATAGCATTGCATGACGCAGAATTCAGTTGCCTGGGGTATCATCATGATAATTGCCAATGACTATCATCTATCTGCACGGCATCGGTGCCTCTGCTCTTCTCATGCACCGGTCCGTGCCTCCCTCTGTCCGCGTCCATCCCTGACCACCATAGGGCCGTTTCACAGATTCGACAGCGGCATCTTGGCCACAACAAAGTACTACACTTCCTCTGTGTACGACCTCAACCTTAGCCACTGCTATCTCGGACCACGGGCAAGCACCCGTCTAGGATTATCTATAGACTAGTTAATTAGAACGTCCTAACATGTGCATATAGTTGCCTTTATTTTGTGCTGCCTATACCTATTAGGATCGCGGATTTTGCTATTAAATCCTCGAAAAATTAGCCCGTGCGTTAGAAATCTAACAGCTAATTCTAATAGCTAATTCTAATATTTAACAGCTAATTCTAATATCTAATAGTAAAATCTAATAGCTAATTCTAATATCTAATAGCAAAATCTAATAGCAGAATCTAATAGTAGTCTATAGTAAGAATACTATTTACTTCTATATATAATCTAAAACCTAGTCTACTTTTTTTATATATAGCTAGTAACTCTACTATAACTATAATTATTTTACTTAGTAGTAGCTTAGTAAAAGCTAGGTTACGTATAAGTAGGAAAAAAAAAAGTAGCGTATTAGTATAGCTAGAAGTACTTAGTTACTTATATAGATTATTTATTCTATAAAGAAACTTTATATTAATAAGACTTATCTTTTAAGTTAAGAATCTTATATTTATTTATAAGATTTTAGAAGAACCTATCTTTATTTTCTATAGATTTAAGTAGTACTATAAATAACTAATCTTCTATATTTTCTTTATTTACTACTTTAAGAAATAGCTACTCTAGAGGTACTTCTTCTACTATATATTTTAGGAATAGAAGTTTAATAGCCTTATATATTTCCTATATATTCTTATTATACGTTACTACTATTTAGATCTAATCTTCTAGATAGTATATAGGTTTACGCTCTATAAAAGCGTATAGTATACTACCCTTTAGTATTAAGGTAAAGATACCTATCCTAAACTTTTATCGCAATATCTACTACTATTTACTATAGTCTAGGTATTAGTTCTATAATTAGTAACGTGTAGTATAGTTATTTTTTATATAGTTTTTGTAATAAGCTTAAAGGAGCGTATAGAAAAGTTACTTTTATACTACTATTACTATCTTACGCTCTTTTATGCTTATTACTTTTACTTTTTTACTTAGGACGTTTTTTAGACATTTATATTCTATATAAAGAGTAGATATAACTTAATAATACTTTATACTTCTAATAATATCTACTATCTTATTTTATCTTACTAATACTAATAGATTCTAAAAGCTTTCTACTTTTTTCTTTATTAAAACTATATTTATATAACCTTACTATTCTACTTATAATAGCGTAGCTAGCGTTTCTTAAGTTTTATATACTGTATCTTACACACTACTTATACTATAAAAGGAATCGCCTTTAGCTTAGAAGGCTACTACTATTATCTTTATATAAGAAAATAAACGCTTACTTTTTCTATATATTTTTTTCTACGCTTAAAGCACAGCCTTCTAGTTCTATAAATAGGAAGCTATAGCTACTACTTTTATATAGTTAATTATTTTAGCTACTTTACTAACTCTAACTTTCTATAACTACTTTATAAAGTTCTAATACTTTTACTCTTCCTTAGAAAAAGTAATATCTATTTTCTTTATAGCGGCTACGTCCTGCGTACTAGTAACTATTTCTAGTAACGCGTAGTTAAGCTGCTCTTTTAGCTATTAATTTACCTACTTTATAGTAGGCTCTCTCTATACGTATTTTAATAAGTAATAGCTATTTTTAGTATTACTTACTTTAAGGGAAGAACGCTTATTTTATAGCTATAAGTTATTATAAATTTAGTAGATAATCTTTAGGAGGTGCGCTTTACTAATATACTAGTAGATTTACTCTATAGTATTATCTAGGGTGTAGGTAATAAATACTTATATTAGTTCTATAGTGTCTAGAAGTATATAGAAAATAGGCGCTTAGAAGTTAATGTAGGCAAACGCCTATTCTACTAATATAGTAAGCTTATTACTCTTTTCTAACAGCTTAGAAAGAACGCCTAGTAGATATATAGGTATTAGACTCTAGTATTATTATAGCTTACTAGAGCTATAGTATATACGTTAAGAGATTATAGTTATATTCTTCTAAAAAAGATAAATATAATAAAATAGCTACTCTGCTATCTATAAATAAGTAACTATAATAAGAAGTAAGGCTTTACTACCCTACTACTATAAGAATAATTAGCTAGAGCTAAGGTTACTTCTTTCTCTATATAGTAAGCCTAATATAGGACTATATAGTAGGTTTTAGCCTATATATAAGTAAAAACGCGTCTTAGCTATAAAGTCTTCTCTACCTCC